ATGAGTAATCGTTCTCGTGCAGTTGACGATGACCTGTATGCCATCTCTCCCTCAAATTGTAGCTTTTAGCTGTGCTACCATAATTATTTCCTAGATTTCGTGTAACTTGTGTTACTTTTGTTTTAATATTCTCCTCTGGTTTCTGAACAACGTCAGTTGTTTTCTTACTTTGTGTACCTTCGTTTGGTTCATCAATCAACTTAATATAAATATTATGGCATTGCTTTGGCCTCTCATAATACATCTTGCTTCGGTATCTTTCATTAGAACTTGATACATTATTTCTTAAATGACTGTATTTCCCACATGACTTTCTTTGTACATAATAATTGTTTCTTCTCTGATTTGCCAACCTATGCCAACATTGATTTTGGTAATGACCTGTTTTTCCGCAGTAAAAACATCTAGATTTTGGCTTCTTATAAACTTGGTGACTGTATTCATAGTTTGCTAAATTTCTTTTTCTTTCATTCTGTGCATTAATGACATTAATGACATTCTTATTAACATGGTGACTGTATTCAAAGTTTGCTACATTTCTTTTACTTTCATTCTGTGCATTTTTATTAACATTGTAGTTTGTAGATATTTTTTCATCTTTCTTAACTTCCTTGTGCTTCTTTATTGATTCTAGTTCCCACATAAATTTCTGTGTTAATTTCTCCATTTCTTTGTTAAATTTATTCTTGAGTTCTAGTATATCTTTTTTATAGTTTGACTCCAATTTTCGAAGTAAATCTTCAATAGGTACGTTCTCTTCATTGTGGCTTATTAAGTTCACTGATTCATTAATCATCATTAGTTTATCATGATTCCTGCCATTCTCCGATGGACTTATTAAATCATCACTGCCATTCACTGATGGGCTTATTAAATCATTTTGACTGCCATTCTCTGATGGACTTGTGATACAACTTTCAATAATATTCTCGTGTACCTGCGTATCATTTAATAAAGAGTCAATCTTAAGACATTCTAATGTATCTGTCACCTTTAAATCATTATTAAATTCACCCTCTGTTTTATCCTTGGGTTTCAATTCTTCCTGGACTATGTTACTCTGTTCTTCATTCCAAAGGTTGCCAATATTTACTTCTTCAAGTTCTGCTTTAAATTCTATCTGTTCACTTTCTAATTTTGGTACATTTGTGTCTATTATAGCTTTCATTTCTAATAGTTCTTGTTCATATGCTAGTTCATGTAGGCCTACTTGTTTTTCCATAGTTTCAGCCCTATTATCTGCTCTCTGTTTTCTGTTTCTTTTTTTTTTCTTTCCTTTTGGTTGTACAGTCTCCTCTGCTTTATCTACTTCTGAAATGTCTTCTTCTTTATGCATGTCTGTAATAGCTCTTGATCTATTACACACTATTTCTATCACATCATCTAGTTCTCTCAATACATTTCCATGAGCTCGTCGGGGTTGGTCTGTTTCTTCGTCCCATGCTTCTTTTGCTTCTTCTATGTCTCTTTCAAGTCGATTGGTTGCCCAGGCTATCTGCTTATTCATCTTCTTAATGCCTTGCGCCCTCGCTAGTGCTAGATATTCTTCAAAACATGACATTTTGATATATTTTCTATGACATAAAATATAAATTCATTAGTTGACAATAGATAAATGTTAATTAATTTACAATACCCTTTCTTGTATTCTGGCTTTGTTCAGTTGATTAGAGACATCTAGTAATCCAAGAAAAGTTCATAGTACATATATAGTACAAAAATAGTTCACTTTGTTGATTCCAAAAAGTTGAAAAAATTCAAAATAGTTCTAGTAGCCTGTTACAGAGTAGAAATTTGTCCAGTTTTAGATAAGACAGCTTCAGGAACAGTTTAGGAACAGTTACAAAAAATAACTTGATCTGCTAAATCCAAACAGCAGAAAAACTTGAACAGCTAATCCATATAGAAAAAACTTGAACAGCTAAATCCAAATAGGAAAAAAAACACACACAGACGATATTTACTCGACATTGGTGAGACAATATCGAAATAAGGTGATAAAAATTATCACGTTGATGACTTGACTTGAACAAAACGTCTGACTTGACTACAGCAACCCTTCTGACTTGAGTGTAGATAGATGACTTTCAAGAACTTGACGTACTTGGTAAACAGTGGAAGACCACAGACTGCAATATCTCCATTTCTGACATATGTAGCACCAATTCTTCAACCACTTGTGACATCATAAGTAACAGTAATACAATGTAGCAACATCACTTTATTGCCTCCACTTCTGACACCATATGTAACAACATGAATTCTTTGTTGTTGTGGGTTAGCTTTCATACAGGAACACGAGCAACAGTGGCAACTTCCAATGACAACTTTATTTACACTATGTACAGATAAATCCGTGGTACATCCATATTTGAAGATCAACTGATATAGGTACAAATAATAATCACGACTCCAAGTCATGGAGACATCTTACATTCACTGCCATCGTTCCAGTCCCAAGTCCTAGCACACAACACCCGTTCACCTTTCGCTCTCTCTTTTATTCACCACTTTCTCTCCCCTTACGTCAATGAGCGATCTCACCCAAAACACGGAAAAACACATGACGATCGCTCAGACAGTCCTTCCGCTAGCCAGGTACTCTTCATTCATGCAAAACACAATATAATAAAGATACATAATAATACAGTCTGTGACAATTTTAAATTTACTTTATGAATATGGAACATTATAAAAATATTAAAATCTATTAATTTTACCGAAACAAATGTTTGTATTTTTATTATTGAGGCGGTAATGTCTTAGACCTGGTCTAGTTTAGCAATTGGTCTAAGGGCTTTATTGTCTGAAGCTGATACTGTCGAGAGCATCATTGTTTGGGAGAATGAAGGAAGGGGTTAGTTTGAGCTGACAAGCATATCACAGGATGGATTGATTTTCATAAAAGATAAATTTGTTTCTGTGAATATTTGTTGTGTGTATAATTTAATGTCTAAACAATTTGTGGTTGTAGAGGAATGTGGATGTTGTCTCTAAACATAGTTATGAGTAGACCACTCTTATTTAGCATTCATCATCAAATGTTAATATTGATATAACTTGCCAACACACACAAATCTTGTCTCTACTTCAGTTTACAATAATTTAATATAGAAATTTCACGAAAATAAATTTTTAATTGAATCTCATTCCCTTTAATTTAGACTAAAATCCTAATCATGTATGCAGATATAAACTATATTTCACACACACGTAAATAGCTTAGGTATGCTTGTGTATGTAAGCACCATTTCAGTCCCCTCAACTCAAGTTCCAAAAGGCTCCTTTCTCTTACCAATTCTTCCTAAGGTTTCCCAATTAAAACAAAAACATTCCCCCCTCCCTCAGGGTGCAAAAAACAAACCAAAAAAACAACAACCTGCAATTTAGTTTTTTCTCCTTTAATAAAACAAACTTGAAATTAGTTTTCAATATAGTGCTCAGGGCCTGATTAAAAAATATTTTAACAAGATAAAAAAACGAAAGCTAATATATTAAAATTAAAAGTAATTATTTCAAAATATAAAAGGAACAAAAACAACTTTAAAATTGAGGAGCACACAGATCAACATATAAAAAAAACACAGATGAACATATAAAAAAAACAACATTAAAATGGTTATTTACCTAGATCTATCCCTAATAATAAATTCATTTCTTTAATGAGCCCAATAACTGTATGTAATTAATACATTATAATGACATTTTAGAGTTCATCTCTTTCTGTGAGTTCACCTGTTACTGTGCCCTCAGCATACGAAGGGATAGTGTAGTTAGCACTATGCCCAGCCGCCTTTACTTTCCTACAGTAACTAAGGTACCCATGAGAGATGGGTGGACTTAGTTATTCTACTGAATTAAACCCCGGATTTGAACTCGACTTTTGGGTTAGCAGTCTAGCGCTCTACCTCTAGACCACCAGGGTCACAGAAACAGGTGAATTATGGTTCACTTGCGCCATGGACTGCAAGATTTCGAAAAAGGGAACCTTATTCTACTTAATGAAATTTTAATTTGCATCTTCTTAAAATTTGGCCAGTGACTTCTGCAACAGCATTTGGTTTAAAAATGGGTAGAAACTTTTTACAATAACAAAGACATCCAATAAATGCTAACTGAGGATAACACATACTGTTGTTGATGCTTCTGCTGTGTTACTGATTTCATTCAATTTTTGAAAAAAAATTAGTCTAGGTTATCTCTTCTGTCCACTAGATATACAGCTCACAAACATGGAAAAGTAATAAAAATTCAAAACATTGAAGAGACCAAATTAGACATCAACTATAATTTATAGTCAAATAATTACTGTATTATATTTTTCCAAGTTTATTCAGAATTTTTTTTTAAAACTTCAGTTTTACTGTCTCAGTGGAAAGAATGAATCTTCAAAAAGCTGAAATAGTTATCCAAATGTAGCTAAATTTGACTAATTTCATGTTTTTTTAGGTTCCTACACAACCTCATTTAACCAAATAAAAATTTATATTTAAAAAAATCCTATTATAAAACAGTTAACAAAACTGAAAAAAAACAACTAATTACATATCATTTGTAAATGCTTACACTTCCTCTAGATAAAAGTTTTTAATGCAACATTTTACATTAGATATACAATGAGGAATATATATACAATGTAGTATACGGTGTTTATGACATGACAATGGCTGAGGCTTGTTTGTTTTTTTCATTTCAGATAATGTTTGGGGAGGGGAGTGCAGAGATTAAATATTTTTGAAGGAGAGGATTTCTAAAAATTAAAAAAATAATTAAAACATTGTACAGCACAAAATCAGCCACAGTATAGGTCAGTTAAATAATGACCTTGTCAAATGATGATCACAAAATATTTTAAGACAATTTTCTATGTGGGTGATCAGAAAAAACATTGAGAAAGTAACTTTTAAAGTTCCTCTCTAGCATGAGATTTCTGCTGGTGTTCACTCATGCTACCTTTTTCTATGAAACATTGACCACAACTCTTACACCTGTAGGGCTTTTCTTCTGAATGGAATAGCTGGTGACTTTAAAGTGTGCCCTTCACTTTAAAATGTTTACCACGTTTTTCACACTAATAAGGCTTTTCTACTAAATGAATTATCTTGTGATTATTCAAACCATCATTCAGTCACATTGATAAGGCTTTTTTCCAATATGAATTCTATAATGTGACTTATAAAAAAAAATACTTCATACATCACACTTAAGGACTTTTCTCCATTATGAATTCTCAGGTGTCTCTTTAAATCACTTTTCTGTGTAAAACATCTGAAGCACTTGTAAGCCCTCTCTCCTGCATGAAACATATTGTGTATCCTACAATATACCTTCTGTTTGAAGCAGTGACTACACTGGTCACAGATGAAGGCTTTTCCCATGTGATTTTTTTTGGTGCTATAAAAGATAGAAGCTTTACCACACCTAACACATTTGTCCTGTGTGAGTACCTTTAAACAATGCTGATGAGTATAACATTTATTAAATTTGTCACACTTGTGAGGCTATTCTTGCATGCGCATTATCTGATTTTTCTTTAAATAGCATAAATGTGTAAAACATTACTTTTGTCACACATGTAAGGCTTTCTTTCCATATGGATTATCTGTGTTGATTCAGGTTGGATAACTGGGAAGAATGGTATCCTGATCTCTATTGTCATGGAAGTTTCCTCCATGTTTGTACTTCATAAAACTCTCCAAAAAGGAAAGTTGGGTGAATGCAACTGTACCACATTGGCAGGAACTACATCTGGAAAACAGTTTTTACATCAATTCATTACATGTAAATAAGGTTATAGTTTTGAATTATCATATAAAAAATAAGACAACTGGTGAACTAAAGAATTATCACAGGCAGCGTTGACCTCTGATAGGCCTATAAATGGGAAACATTTTATACTCTACACATTTCAACTTTGATGACCAAGGTGATATATTGTGTATGTGACAGACGTGGTGAATGTATTGAATGACCAACAATAAGTATTTATCTAGTGATAGAAAACAATTAAATGTGAAGGAAGTATAGTAACAAAGAAATATAGGTGACATTTTATTTTTCTTTCAATTAAAAACAAACCCTGTGGTGTAGCCTCTACAGCTGGGGTCAACTCTGAATCAAGATTTCCAGAAGCTGACAATGATTCTGGCATGGCCTCACTTCTCTTCTTCTCAACTTCTAATTTAGAATTTTTTGCAATCACTCCTGCAAAGATAAAAAAAAAGTATAAATAATAATACAGTCCATAGTGATGAAAATGGATGCTTAACAACATGCAACTTTTCAGGGAAGAAAAATTATGTGTTTGAAAAGTGGCAACAACAGGTGTATGAATTAACTATGAAAATCTTTAGAAATGTGCTTACGTGTCAATTATTACACATACCCAGATCATCCTATAGCTAAAATAGTTGATAAAGGCACATTTATAGGGTCAGTCAACTGTGATTAAAGTCGGTCACTTAATTTTACAATTATATGGGCAATTAGGCCTAATACTTATCACAAAGAGAATGGAAATAATATTTCAAATGCACAATTTTATGAGCAATCACAAAAATATTATTGTACCTTTTTCATCCCACTTTTCTTTGCTATGAACCCTTAGGTGATGCTCCTTCATGTCATCCACCTTGGTGAAAAGTTCACCACACTTATCACACATGAGGGTCTTTGCAGTGTGAGTTCTCTGATGTTTGGTAAAATTAAAATGACTAGAAAAACATTGATCACATTGGTCACACTTGTAAATCTTGCGTTGGGTATGACGTCTCTGGTGCCTCTTTAAAAAACAGATATTTGGGAAACTCCTGCTGCACACATCACACTTGTAAGACTTTTCTTCAGGATGAATTAACTCTTGGTGTCTGACCATATCACTTTTTCTAATGAAACTTTGGCTACATTTGTCACATTTGTGAGGTTCTTCTTCTAAATGAACTTTCAGATGATCATTCAAACTGTCTGGATGTGTAAAACTTTTACTACATTTGAAAGGCCCTTCTTGTACGTGAATTTTCCGATGATCATTTAAACTGTCTAATTGTATAAAACTTTGGCTACATTTGTCACACTTGTAAGGTCCTTCTTCTATGTGAATTTTCCGATGATCATTTAAACTGTCTAATTGTATAAAACTTTGGCTACATTTGTCACACTTGTAAGTTCCATCTTCTGAATGAATTTTTAGATGATCATTTAAACTGTCTAATTGTAGAAAACTTTGACTACATTTGTCACACTTGTGAGTCAATGCTTCAATATGGATTATATTGAGTTGATTTAAGTTGGACGACTGTAAAGATTGCTCGCTTGTGATATCAATGGAACCCTGATCTCTATTGCCACGGATTTTTTCTCCATGTTTGTATTTCATATGTCTATCCAAATAGGAAAGTTGAGTAAAAGCCACTGTACAGTGCGGGCAAGGAAAACAATCTGCAAAAAATAAATTTTAAAAAATGAATAACATCTAAACGTAATGTCAAAGGGTGGACGGATTTTAGGCTTCTCATGTTACAGAAGTAACTTGACTGGGTGTTTGGTGTTTTGTTTGTTTGGTGTATTGTTTGTTTGGTGTTTTGTTTGTTTGGTGTATTGTTTGTTTGGTGTTTTGTTTGTTTGGTGTTTTGCTTGTTTGGTGTGTTTGGTTTGTTTGAAGTTTAGTTTGTTTAGTGATTTGTCATCTTGTTTTGTTTTATTTGGTTGTTTTTTTCCATTTAAGGTGTTAAGCTACGTTAGACAAGTGTAGGTCCAGCTTTTGGATTGTATTTATTTTTGTATCTAAATGATTGGTTCCACCATTTTTGTAATAAACTTTATGTCTAGTTGATTATCTTTTGTTAAATAGACTTAGGTTAGGAGTGTTTTAGCCACGGTTGCACAGAGTCTGAATAGTTGATTAGCCTAGGGGGATATCGAGATATTAGGGTTTTAGACACACCCCCCCATCAGGGCTTACATGAAACGTCCTATGGCTAGAAAATATCATATGAAGAATAGGACAACTAAAAAGAACTAAAGAATTATCACAGACAGTGTTGACCACTGATAAAGACAGAAAATATGAGGGTAGCACAGCAACAATCAACTGAACAGTTAAAAACAACAATCTCTACCCTGTGGTGTAGTGGGTTTTGCTGAGGTCAAATCAGGGCCACCAGAAAATGGCGATGATTCTGACATGGTTTCACTTCTCTGTTCCTGAAGGTTAGAGTCAGAATTCTCTGCCATGAAACCTGCAAAGATTAAAAAAAAACTTTAAAATTCCATGAAATTACTGTGGTGTTGGAAATGGCTGCTACATACAGATCTTTCAGCAAAGAAATATTTTCCCTTTGAAATGTGACTCTGTAATGTGTATGAATAAACTAAATAGTGACAAACCTTTGCATTAGAAATGTACTCTATTGTCATTTGTTAAAATTTACCCAGACTATTCTATAGCTAGAACAATTGATCAAGACATAGACACATTTTTAATATATCTAATACTTTACAAATCTAAATTAAAGTATAATACCCTTTGATTCTTGTTTAATTATCTCAGGGAGTCTACGAGATAACTAAAATCTACTTACACAAACATATTTAAACCTAAAAGATAAATGGAAAATCTTCAAACGACTTAATAATTTTATACTGCTGGGACAATCAGCAATAATCACAGACTTTATAATAATTTTTTTTATTATTGTAAAAATAGACTTTTGTGGACAATGTGCACTGGGGGAAGGGGGGGGGGTTATGTTCAGGTCCATGTGAATGACCACATATTTGAAATACTTAACACATTAAAACAAATTTAAAAAACCTTAACCTGCATATAAAATGTATACATTAAACTGGCAGTGATTGTGTTTAAAATATAACACAGCTCAACAGGTAAATAAATTTAAATGGAGTTCATACATTAACTACCTCTCGCCTTTTAAACAATTGTCATTTCTCTCTCTCTCACCCCACTGAAGTCAAATCTCAGTCTTCCACCCCCACCTCCCCCTCCAAATATACAATTTAAAAAAAAAACAGCTTTTCCTTTCTAAAATATTACTGAGCTATCGCAGCATTGTGTAGACTAATAATTGGAGTGTGACATTTCGTTTATTGACAAGCCTTATACAATGAGTACGTCTCAGGTATGCGAGAAATAAAGTAACCATAAATAGCTTTAATAACCTCAAAGTGGATTAACAACTCTAAATAAGTTATGGCTGTTACTATTATAAGGCATACTCCAAATAAAGAAAACAATTGTGCTTTAATTTTTTTTTTTTCCATTCAGAAAATAAAAGTTTAATACTAGTCGGTATTCTATTTAGACCTAATAATAGTCATTTTTGAGAAAAATTCTGTTTTAAATTATTATTATCAACTTACAAGGTACAAAATTCATGTTATGGATTTAGTAAACTGTGAGTAAGTTAGGAGAGGGCTACTATGTTTTTGTGGATGTCCGCATTGGGGGAGGGGGGGGGGGGGAAAGGGGTAATTAAAAAGTTTTGTGGCCGTCATAAATTGATGAGCCCTCTATTTTCAAAATGCAACCTTTGATTAAAAAATCTAGGGTCAGTCAAATGACCTGACAATTAAATTCGTCTCAAAAAAAGATTCAGACATATTTCAAATACAAAAATTTTTCATGAGTAATCAAACATATTTACCTCTTTCATCAAATTTTTCTCCACTATGCATTATATCGTTGTGCTTCTTCAGGGAACTCTCTTTTGTGAAGGATCTGCCACATTTATGGCATAAGTGTGGGTTTTTAGTGTGGGTTCCCTGATGTCTATTAAAATGGTCAATCCTTGAAAAACTTTTTTCACAGAGGTCACACTTGTAAGTTAATTCTTTTATATGGCATTTCTGGTGTTTCTTTAAATAACAGATATACGGGAAACACTTTTTACACACAGGGCACTGATGAGACTTTTCTTTGAGATGATTTAAATGGTAGTGACTAAGCAGATTACGTTTCCGAAGGAAACATTTATTACATTTGTCACACGTGAAAGGCCCTGCTTCTGAATGAATTTTCAGATGATCATTTAAACTGTCTAATTGTAAAAAACTTTGACTACATTTGTCACACTTGTAAGGTCCTTCTTCTATGTGAATTTTTAGATGATCATTTAAACTGTCTAATTGTAGAAAACTTTGACTACATTTGTCACACTTGTGAGGCAATGCTTCAATATGGATTATATTGAGTTGATTTAAGTTGGACGACTGTAAAGAATGCTCGCTTGTGATACTAATGGAATGATCATCTCTAGTGGCAAGGATTTCTCCACCATGCTTGTATTTCAAGTGTCTTTTCAAATAGGAAAGTTGAGTAAAAGCCACTGTACAATATTGGCAGGCAAAGCAATCTGAAAAAAAAAAAACCCAGTTTATTTTAGAAAAAATGTATGACATTTAAACTCAAACAGGTCCTATAGCTTTAAAATATAATATAAAGCATTAGAGAACTACGATGAACCAAAAATTTATCACAGGCAGTGTCGACCACTGATATAATGGGAAACAACATTTTATACACATTTCAACTTTGATGACCAAGGTGGTATATTGTAGATGCTGTGGATATCGCAGACAAGGTGGATGTATTGAATGGTCAACAACAATAAGGATTTATTTAATGACAGAAAGCTATTAAATGTGAAGGAAAGTATAGTAATAAATACATCTTATTTTTCTTTCAATTAAATGTGGGTCTACAGAAAACTCTCGAATGACACTTGCCCAATTGCCGTTTGCCCACAGGCTGTTTTCCCAAATGGACCTAATGCAACAAACACCCAAATGGACACTTACCCTAATGCAACAAACACCCAAATGGACACTTACCCTAATGCAACAAACACCCAAATGGACACTTACCCTAATGCAACAAACACCCAAATGGACACTTGACCAATTGTGACAAATGCCAGAATGGACAATTGCCCAAAGCAATAATGCCCGAAGGTCACTTGCCTGAAGGCCATTTGCATGAATAAATGTTAATATGATAGATTACAAAGTAGACATTCTAAATGAATTGGAGGCTTTCTTGCATTTGCCCCATTTGGGCAAGTGTCCATTTGGGCAATAGTCAATTTGGGCATTTGTTGCATTCGGGCAAGTGTCCATTAAGAAAAATGTCCAGCTCCCATTAAAAACAAGTGTTACCCTGTGGTGTAACCTCTACTGGTGGGGTCAACTTTGAATCAGGATTACCAGAAGCTGACAATGATTCTGGCATGGCCTCACTTCTATTTTTCTCAACTTCGGATTCAGAATTGTCTGCTATATAATCTGAAAAGAAAACAAGGTAATTAAAAAGTCTAGTGACAATTTTAGCACAATTTCCTTATGTTATCTAAAAATAGCTCTGTCGTAGCGTAAATCAAGAGCAGGGTTAGTAAAACCATTGGTTAGTTATTAAAACGTTTTTTATTAATTTTTTTATCAGTATTTTACATGTTTTATTTACAATAGAGTTACATGACTAAAAACCATAGCGCGCCTAGCTACTGAACGTGATGACGCAGCCATTTGAAAACTTTCTTCGGCAATATTGTTCTAAATTATGGCAGGAATCGATTGGTACATGTTTCAAGTCGCTAAGTGGTCTGGTTGCCGAGATATGGGCCAAAAACTGCATTTTTTCTAGGTTTTTTGGCTTTTCCGGGAAATCCATGAAAGAAACCCGGAATTTTTTTGGCCTATGTTCATCCTCGTAACTTGCTTAACATAATTGCTTTTGGAACTAGTCCTCCTCGATATTGCTTCGTTGAGGAAGAGATACTACTTAAAGCTGCGGACACACATCCATTCATTCATACATTCATACATCCAGAAATGACAGGTTAATAAACGCAATTCTCCAGAATGGAAATTGCGCTAAAAATATTTTTATTTAACATATTTCAGGGTGTTTAATAAATTTGAATGCTAATAGTTGTTAATCTATAGACAAAAATAGTTTATAGCAGCCAACAGCAGTTTTGGTTGCCATGGAAACCATGAAAAGGTGTGAAAACTAACACTTTTTCACACCTTAACTTTGTTCCCAAAAGAGATTTTAAAAATCTGATCATTAAATGTAAAACATACATTCTACAAATCTAAATTCAGTATACCTAAATAAAGGTCAGTTAAATCATTTGTCTCATTAATTAAAATACAGATTTTTCATGAGCAATCAGACAAATATTTACCTCTTTCATCAAATTTTTCTCCACTATGAATTCTTTGGTCATGCTCCTTCAAGCCCTTTTCTTGTGTGAACAATTGGCCACATTTGTCACACATGTATGACCCTTTATTGTGAGTTTCCTGATGTCTCTTCAAATTGTCAATCCTTCTAAAAACTCTATCACATTGGTCACACTTGTAAGGAAGTTTGCTGTGAATTCTCTGATGTTTCTGAACAGCACTATAACTTGTAAAACATTCACTACATACATTACACTTGTAAGATTTTTCTCCATTATGAACTTTTCGGTGATAACCTATTTTACCACAATATCTAAAATGTTTACTGTGAAGCTTATTATGATCTGGTAAATATTGGATATGTTTGCGATATTTATTACATATTTCACATTTGTGAGTATTTTCTTCTGTGTGAACATTTTTATGTTTTTTTAAATGACACAGCTTTTCAAATGATTTATTACATTTGTCACACTTGTGAGGCCTTTCTCTCGTGTGTTTACTTTGGTGTTTCTTTAACTCAAAAAAATATTTAAAACACTTTCCACATTTATCACATTTGTGAATCCCAATTCCTGAGTGAAAATTCAAATGCATCTTTAGCTGGCAGAGATATTTGAACCCTCGACTACATTTGTCACACTTTAGAGCCTCTTCGTCTGTATGAATTTGTTCATGTTCTTTTAAATCACAGGGATGTTTGAAGCATTTGTTACATGTTTCACATTTGTGAGGCCTTGCTTTCATTTCTTCTTCATGCTTGTATTTTATATGTATATCCAAAAAAGAATGTTGGCTAAAAGCCAGACTACAATACTGGCAGGGAAAAAAATCTGTAAAATTGCATAAATATTATCAACATCTTTATGGATAAAAACAATTTCAAACTATCTTTTACCAAAAAATTAACATCTTAATTCAAGAACAATCACAACCTCAGTTCTACGAACTCTATACATGACTGGAACTATGAAAAGCAATACAATGAAACAGCTGGGTACAAGGAAGTAATAAGGTGTTCTACTGATGCAGTGGATAGCTGGACAGTGGTCTACTAACTGGACACAATGTTCTACTGATACAGTGGACACAATGTTCTACTGATACAGTGGACAGCTGGACAGTGGTCTACTAACTGGACACAATGTTCTACTGATACAGTGGACAGTTGGACAGTGGTCTACTAACTGGACACAATGTTCTACTGATACAGTGGACACAATATTCTACTGATACAGTGGACAGCTGGACAGTGGTCTACTAACTGGACACAATGTTCTACTGATACAGTGGACACAATGTTCTACTGATACAGTGGACACAATGTTCTACTGATACAGTGGACGCAATGTTCTACTGATACAGTGGACAGCTGGGCAGTGGTCTACTAACTGGACACAATATTCTACTGATGCAGTGGACAGCTAGACAGTGGTCTACTAAGTGGACACAATGTTCTACTGATCCAGTGGACAGCTGGACAGTGGTCTACTAACTGGACACAATGTTCTACAGATGCAGAGGACACAATGTTCTACTGATCCAGTGGATAGCTGGACAGTGGTCTACTAACTGGACACAATGTTCTACTGATGCAGTGGACAGCTGGACAGTGGTCTACTAACTGGACACAATGTTCTACAGATGCAGTTGACACAATGTTCTACTGATACAGTGGACAGCGGTCTACTAAATGGACACAATGTTCTACTGATACAGTGGACACAATGTTCTACTGATACAGTGGACAGCTGGACAGTGGTCTACTAAATGAACACAATGTTCTACTGATACAGTGGACACAATGTTCTACTCATGCAGTGGACACAATGTTCTACTGATACACTGGACACAATGTTCTACTCATGCAGTTGATAGCTGGACAGTGGTCTACTAACTGGACACAATGTTCTACTCATGCAGTTGATAGCTGGACAGTGGTCTACTAACTGGACACAATGTTCTACTGATACACTGGACACAATGTTCTACTGATACACTGGACACAATGTTCTACTGATACAGTGGACACAATGTTCTACTGATACAGTGGACACAATGTTCTACTGATACACTGGACACAATGTTCTACTGATGCAGTGGACACAATGTTCTACTGATACACTGGACAATGGGGCAATTTTCATTCTTCATGCAGTGAAAATTTAAATTAAAAGATTACTATAAGATTGGTTGGTTACTGAAAGTAAAGGCTGCTGGGCATAGAACTGACCACATTGTTTTTCTACATACAGAGGTCACAGAAACAGGTGAATTCTTGTTTTCTACTTCCTTTGTCTTATTGGCAAGCAGGTCAGAAAGGGTAATTTAACTTCTCTTATACTAAATGACACAGTTGAAATAAATGAATACATATGTATTTACCATTCTTGTTTTTCTCAGTATTTCGCAAAGTGTTCTTGCTAACCTGGATGCCCAGGTCTCTGGCATAGTTGTCACTAAAGTACACCTGAAAATGTGATCAATCAGATCAATTCCTCAGTTGCATAAAGGTTAAAGGGGATGGTGTGGATACAAATGCTAAACAAAAACTTCTGTTGAGATTGGTTCCCTGAGTTTGTAGTCAGATTCTGAAGTCTGTTTGACTCCAGTTGGATAAATGTGGTAGCTGACCACAGTACACTGAGCTTTGACCACAAGTGGTTTGACCAGAGGGTGTTTGACTGTATGTGGTTTGACCAGAGGGTGTTTGACTGTATGTGGTTTGACTGCAGGGGTGCTTAAACCAGAGGTGTTTAGTCCACAAGTTAGGCTTTGACCATAGCAGTGTTTTAACCACAGTGGTGCTTTAACCACTGGTGATTTTTCCAATGAGAGGTTTAGAGACCTAAGGTGTCTTATCCATCGACTGTAACAATTTTAGGTTGTGTTTGCACATATCTAAAGTAAGGATATAAATGTGAGCATGTGAATGATTAATTTTGTTTTATTTTAATTTGGCACATCATTTTTTTGTGTGTGTGTAAGTTATGAAGGCCAGCATCCAGTCAATTTGATATAAGGAGACAGTAATGAGGATTCTGGTTCTTTTTTTTTAATACTGTAAATCTTGGTAGATCAGATTTGCTGTGGACATTTGGCTGCAGGCCAAATGTTGGGTTGTATTTGTAGCTTGGCTGGGTCTTAGGTTGTTTTGTTTTCTGCTTAGTACTTTTTGTTAAGTTGATTATGTTTCTTAGTAGTGAATTTATTTGTTGATTTTTTTTCCCCATAACTGGTCCCATTTTTCTTTTTATTAAATTCATGATTAGTTGATTGTCTTTTGTTTTTTTATCTAGATTAAGTTAGGAGATTAACCAGTCTGGGTTTAACCAGACTTGCACTGATGCCTGTAGGTATTACCCTCCCCTGTCTGTCAGGGCTTACTCCTTACAAAGGAGTGTAATTATATCTCAAGTTGGGGTGTGGTGTAAGATGACTAATACAGTCTAGTTTCTATTTCAATGTTGTCCCTCAATAATGTGGTTTTTTTCTTTTTGGTCTACATATGGACTGCATGAATCAAGCAGAATATTTCTCAGCAAGAAGTCAAAAAGAGCAAATTATCCATCTGCAACAAGGTACGGGATTATTATTTTAAGTACAATGAGCTGTTCAGACATATGGTCTAACAGATGTACTGAGAGATTTGCCTGCTATTGCACACCTTTCATTTAGTTAAGCATAAAACTATTATTCCTTAGACTATAATTTGTGCATATTTTGCATATTTGCAGATTTAATTTTCTAGTAGATTGACAACCTTAAAAGTGAAACTATAATTTTATACAAAATAAGTTTATTATAATTTGTTATTATGAAAACTACAAGTGGACAAACCACCTACGGTCAAAGCATCTATGGTGAAACCACCTATGGTCAAACCATCTTTGGTGAAACCACCTATGGTCAAACTAACTGTGGTGAAACCACCTATGGTCAAACCATCTTTGATGAAACCACCTATGGTCAAACTACCTGTGGTCAAACAACCTGTGGTCAAACCACCTATGGTCAAACTACCTGTGGTCAAAGCACCTATGGTCAAACTACCTGTGGTCAAAGCACCTATGGTCAAACTACCTGTGGTCAAAGCACCTATGGTCAAACTACCTATGGTCAAACTACCTGTGGTCAAACTACCTATGGTCAAACTACATGTGGTCAAAGCACCTATGGTCAAACTACCTGTGGTCAAACTACCTATGGTCAAACTACCTGTGGTCAAAGCACCTATGGTCAAACTACCTGTGGTCAAACTACCTATGGTCAAACTACATGTGGTCAAAGCCCTGCTTTGGTCTACCCTCCTATGGCGAAACCTACTAAGACCCTGAGCACAAATTCATTTACATGCAATGCTCACAAAAATAATTGAACTCTACTTCCTTTACCTTAAGTAGTACTTAAACGCAAGATGTTGTACCCACTAGTATTTCTGTGCCAGCTGGGATGTCCCTGTGAGCCCTGTAGAAGATTTCACCCTGATGTTGGTATGCTGTGACACATTGCTCATCCTCAAAACGTGCAAGGTTTATAAACCTCATCCAATTAGAATCAGAACTATCGCTACCATCAATACAATGTGATGGACTCCCATCCTTGAAGATCTATAGAATATAGAATAAGAGAGGTCACAAGCATCAACACAATGAGACAGCCTCCTATTTTCCTGTTCTTTAAGACCTCAAGAACAATACATGAACTGTGATGATATCACTGGCATGAAAACAAAGGGAGGGATTCCCATCCTAGATTTGTAGAATAGAGAATAAGAGATCACTTGTACCAACACATCAGTCAAGATCTAGAGAATTATTAGTTTCCATCTGCTGAGTTAAAATCTGCATTTATAACTGGCATATTGATGGGGTAGGGCATATCTGACAAAGGTAGACTTCTGTGGATTTAATCATCAGCGCGGTTCAGGTTTTTTTAAAACCTAGTCCCACTGCTGTTGTAAAGTAGCAATAAAGGAAATAGAAATCAGAAACCTGATGTGGTCTTATGTCAAATTATTATACTGCAGTCATAACTATAGAAAATATTGCCTTTTAATATTCTCCTTCTATGAACAGATAGTGTATTTGTTACTCTACTTCAGATTTTATTTTGAAAAGCAAAAGTAAAATAAAATGCGCTCTCATCACACAAAAACAAGGAAAAGTTCAAACTCCAACCTTTCCCATTTATGGAGAACCCAGAACACTACCTAGATTCTACTTTCTTCTTCTCCCTCATTGTTAATTGTAATGTTGACAGCGTTTTCCATTGATTTCAGCCTGCTTTTCTTTTTGGATTTTCTTCCATAACCTTTGTCAAACCAAGAACAAACTACAAGACAGCAGTTGTTTGATTTTGGAGTTGTCTCTCCTGGATGGGGGTTCAAACTCAGGACTTTTCGGTTTAGCAAAAATATTAGCTCTACCAACTCTACTACACCGACCCACTATTCTACTTTCACTAACATACATGTAATTGAATTAAAATATTGGAAGTAAGCTTCAAGAAAATTCTTATACAATTGTGAACGTACAAATCAGATGTTGAGGGTTGCAATTTTTAAAGACATCTAATTGAACAAGCTATCCGTCAGGAAACAGACCCCAATTGCAGATGGATGAAAATGGGGTAACATAAGGAACTTAGTACTGCTTATAAAGATGTTGTATACATGTTCTAATTCATCAATTTAATATTGATTTTAAAAAGTAAAATAAAACAAGGAATTATACTATGGTCTAAAAAATCTACAAATTTGGCAATAATGCATAATTAGTGATTATTGTAAAACATTCATATGGCCCAATGACCCATCCTCATCTACATAGCTCACCTGCCAACAATACTTAGAGTCATGTGCCAACTGTTCAATGCTCTTATTCTTCCCAACATAAGGTCCAAATCTTGTCCGAGCAGGAAAAAATGTTGTAGCAAAAACACCAAGTCCAGCATCAGGTATATCAGATGTTTTAATAACCAGCCCAGGGGGAAGAGTTTTCCTACAGTAATCTTTGTCCTTGCCTCTGATACAGTCTGGTGGAACCTGTTTCACAAATGTAAATATTTTTTATTCCTTCAGCTCAATCACAGCTTTGTTTTTATTGTTGCCCCCACATTTTTTCATATCTCCATCATTACATCATTTATCTTAGACCCCTACTTGTAACACTAAGTGTGTGAGTATGGTGTTGGGGGGGGGTGTTCTTATTGTCAACATAAAAACAGAGGATAGCCTTGATTTGAGCTAACTATTACGGGTCTGTCCACTGTTCAGGTTAAAAACAGAATAATATAAAACTAAGTATAGACCATACAAATAAGAATTTAGGGAGGTAACTACTACTGTATTGGGAAACTTATAAACAAGAAATTGTCTTAATATAAAACTCTGTTGCTAATCCCAGACATAGACCATACAAATGAAAAGTTAAGGGAGGTCACTATCTCTGTAGTGGGAAACTCATATAAACATAAAAGAACCTGTCAAATTTTTACCTGTGAATCTGACACAACAATTATAGGACCATGTTCAGTGCAAATTTCTATGTCTTCACAGTTGCATTGTTCACAAACTGAAAGAAAATGTTAATTTTTTATTGATTAAACACGTTCACTAATTATATATATATAAATATATATATATATATATATATATATATATATATATATATATATATATATATATATATATATATATATATATATATATATAAAGAGAGAGAGAGAAATAAAAAATATTCATTTTCTTATGTTTAGTAAGTTTTAAAGCTTGTTATTATTAAGGTTTTTATACATCTTACTCTTACTATACATATTAACCAACTTGTATATTTGTATATTTTAAAAAATGTATAGTTGCTGAGTGGAAAAAGCAAAAAGTAGAGTGAGTCCATTTTTTAAAACAAAATATGCACTTTCAGCTGCATCTTATTTTATTATGTTAATAACAGTGCGTAGCCGTTCATGATGTACACAAAGCTTATTTAACAAAGGAATTCATTTTTTACATCAACCAAGGAAGTAAAATTTTAAAATATCAGCTTAAGAGCACATGAGTGCCATAGTGGTGGGTGGTTGGTGGCTGCTGCCTAAACTGGTGGATGGGCCATCTGGGTTGTGGTCATTGGGGTTAGTCAAGATTGTTCAACTACAAACCTCTTACTGACATGATACCAGAAAAAAATCTTCACACAAAATAACTCAAGTGATAACAAAGTTTCAAAGTAAAATAACATGAAACCTACACAATGTAATGTCATTAAATTAAGGTCAGTTTTATGACCTGACAAGTGAGCTTATTTCAAAGAAAAGTTTTTAAAATATTACTAATATTGATTTTTTATTAGTGATACAAAAAATACTTACCACTTTCATCACGCTTTTTGGATTTTTCACCAGAATGTATCCTACACCTGTGTGACTTGACAGTTCTCAGTGATAAAAACTTGCCACATTTGTCACACAGATGGTTGTTTTCTCCATGAATTATTTGATGAGCAAGAAGTTGCTGCTGCTTTATAAAACCCTGCCCACACACATCACAATTGTAACGTCCTACAGTAGTATCAATGCACTTGTGTTTTTTGAGATTACTTTTTGTTGCACAAGATTCACCACATTGGTCACACATGAAAAGATTTTCTCCTGTGTGAATAGTTTTGTGCTCCTTTAAGCGAGAGTTAGTGAAAAAACCTCTATCACATTGGTCACATTTGTGTGGCCTTTTTGTTCTATGTATTCTCATATGTCCCTCTAAATGATGGCGATTTACAAAATATTTTTTACATATTTTACATCGATGAGTCGTTCTTTCCATTTGGAACATCTTTTGATGGTTCCCATTGAACGACTTGAAAGAATGTGCATTAGGGGTAGCAACAAAATCTTGATGTCTGTTGCCAAGGATTTCTCCTTCATGTTTGTATTTCATATGTCTATCCAAGAAGGAATGTTGGGTGAAAGTAGCTGTACAGAACTTGCAAGGATAGAAATCTGTAAAATTGATTACAAAAACATTAATAACATCTCTGATAAGTCCATAACTTCAAATCATCCTAGAAGCAGATAGACAGAAGATATATTACAACCTCAGTTGTATTCAGGGGACAGAGAAGTCTAGCGGTAGAGAGCTAGACTGCTTACCCGTAAGTCTCGAGTTCGAATCCGGGTTCAAGTCAGTAGACCATCCCTGAGTCCACCCAACTCTGGTGGGTACCTAACTGACGTTAGGGAAAGTAAAGGCTGCTGGGCATAGTGCTGACCACACTATCTCTTTATAGGCCGATGTAACAGAAACAAGTGAACTCTACTTCACTTGCCATATAGACCGTCAGGTTTGAAAGGGAACTTTACTTACAGTTGTATTCTGATACTGTGGGAACCAAAATGACATGTTTATCATCCACTCTGCAAGTTTGAGGAGAATGAGGAGATTATAACAATATGTATGTACACATTTTTACAGATATTTACATGCCTTGGATGAGAGACCAAATTTTATGTCAGTTGAAACAAATAAATGCTAATATTTACCATTCATGTTGTTACAAATATTAGGCAAACTGTTCACGCTAGCTGCATTAGCCCTCTCTGCCTGAATGCCCAGGTCTCTGGCATATCTGTCACCATAGTATACCTGGAAACATCAGAAACCAGATTAATTCTCTAGCTTCAAGGGACCAGTATGATGTATTCAGCTTAAGGTTGGCTAGATGGAAAAAATATCCATTAAAATCTTAGGGGGTGTAACAAACTAAAATCTCAATTGCCTGAATCTATTGACATTTCTTTTGTTACAATGTGACAATTTAAGTGCCAAATACTTCATATTTATAGGCCGTTACTAAAATTGTCTGTATCCTCTGAACAATGAAATGTATTTTATCTAAAGTATCATTGCCATGATATTTTACCACCAGCCAGTGGTTATAACTATTATACAGTAGTGTACCATCTAGCAGGCTAGGATAGACATTAAGTATCATCAGATTATGTTTGAACAAATGGGTGAATGGCCACTGGAAGTAAACAAGAAGTAACTGCCACATCAAAGCATCATCCAAACATCTAGTGTTTCATTTAGGTAATGTAATATTGAATAATGAATGGTTTTTAGTTTATGAAATAGCCTTTTACATTTATGTCCTTTTTACATTTATTTATGTCCTTATCTATACATAATCTATCATAAATCATTTTCACTGATTTCTGAAAATTGGATCCCAAGGCTGATACTAGAGGATAAAACACCTCTCTGTTTGGTAAAAAAAAAGAAAAATTTAACCCATAAGAATGATTCAAATAGCACTGTTTGGTACTGCACACAACTCCTAATCCTAATTTTTTTAGTTTAGTTCCGTCTCAAGTTTGAAGAATCTCCCTGAGTCCAACCTGCTCTAAGGAGTGCGTAACTCAAGAAGAATGACCTAAATTGCTGACTACATATCAAGGGTCACATCAACTCTTCTTCATCTGCTCAAGGTTTATCAAGTCAGAAGAATACATAAACATAAACATAAGATCTGGTCAGTGATTATTTTCAACCCAAACCTTCAACTTGTATTCCCCACTTCTTAGACATGACAACAAAAGATCAGAGGAGGATGTAAATTAATAGTTTATTATTGAATGATTTATTCTTGTCAACTCTATTATTTTGGTATTTTATTTAAACTCTCAGTCAAATGCAAAAAATGATTTAAAAAATACTACATTTAAGTAACTTCTCAGTATTTCTTTTGTTAATGGCATCAGCCTAGAACACCATTTATCTTAGAGGGTGTTTTCGTACTTCAATAAAAATTGTGTTATTTTAAAACCTTTACTATATATTATCTGAATCACTGAAGTAGCCTGTGTATTTATTGTTATTAAGCATGAACAACTGTTTCAGCCCCAGAAAATACAATTAGTTTTCATGATTCTTAAGCTAGCCACCTATATTCCTACTCATGAAATATTTCCAAAACATGACAAAGGCAGATGTATGTACCCACCAGTATTTCTGTGCCAGCTGGGATGTCCCTGTGAGCCCTGTAGAAGATTTCACCCTGATGTTGGTATGCTGTGACACATTGCTCATCCTCAAAACGTGCACAATTTATAAATCTCATCCAATTAGAATCAGAGCTATCACCACCATCTACACAATGGGACGGCTTCCCATCCTTTGAGATCTGAAGAAAAATACAAGATTAGACATTACTAGCATGAACAAAATGGGATAGCCTCTCATTCTTGAAGCACATTTAGACAGTTTCCATTTGCCAAGTTTCATAAGCAAACATTCAGATACCTAAGCCTGCGGAAAAAATATCCGATGTTGCCCTTTTGGAAAAAGAGACAAAAGAAAATGGGTGGCTGTTTCTATTTAAAGTGCCAATCAGGTGGGAGTGAGCTTAACTCTGTTTATCTGTGATTTTTACTCAATATAAAAAAAGGTCTTAAGAAATTTTCTCTCTGGAATATCCCCAAAAAGTGTTAATCCAAGAAGCAGAGCTCAGGTAGTTCCTACTAGACCAGTCCAATGAAAGAATGGTCCAAGACAGACAACTATGGTTACAGTGATGCCACTAATTGTTTGCCCTTGTTATTGCCAATATAAGTTACTCTCCAAAGTAAAGACAAGTGAATACTTAATTGGTGATTAGTGAAAATTTGATGCTAAATGAGTCCGTTGAAGTTAAAATTAGAAGAGTTAGAATTTTGGTTTGGGGTCATTGTGATTCGATTTTATTGATTCGTGTGTATACATTTTGAATAAGTTGGAAGTTTTAAAAACATCTAACTTAAAAGTATTTCAATTGTCTTTCAAATTTTGCAAACTAATGTGCAGGTATTAAGATTTCACATGTCACATTATGGATAGAGTAAATCAGTGAAGCTATTGGTTTAATTCCTAAACTCATCTTTAAAAAAAAACTTTATGCTCAATTAAAAAACTCAAAACAAAAAGGGACTAAGCAGCTTAAACTCTAATGGAGGGTCACAAATATATGTTTAAAAATTGTAAATAATAAATATTTATCATCAATTCCTCATAGAGTAATACATTATTTAAATATTTTTAAATATGATAACAAACTTTGTACTAATATTTTTAAATTAAGATAATAAGATAGAAGTTTTGTCATAACAATTTCATTAATTTACAAATGTACTAAAAATTTAGTAATGTATTTTATTTTTATTTTTGTTGCTGATTTTAGAACATTTCTTTTAAAAAAACATCATCTTATTTTCCAGTTCATCACTATAAAACATAAAACTAAATAACAAATACCATGTAATACTTGCCTAAATAAACCAGGAGTGATCTCCCTTAAACTTTCTCGAATATTCTTATATAACACTGCGAGGGATGGCAACTCGGGATATAGAAATTATTTTTAATCCATTTTTCATTACTTAAACTTTTAAAAATAGAATAGAATCTCATAGAAAAAAGAGTTGCGCACCAAGTGAATGCCAAACAAAATGTGTATAATAGTGCGGAATAGTACGTTATAAATTCCCATGCATTTTTTGAGAAATCGGATATAGTGTAAATTACTACTTCCCGTCAACGGAAATTACTGAAAATGTGAAAGAAGGCAGAAAATCAGATCTTTCACTTACATGTGAAATTTCATTTTTCTATCTGAAACAGTACTCAAGTTATAGGCTTTTTAAAAATAGAAAGTAGAATAAGTTCCACTACCGGTTATCGGAAATCGCTGAAAAGTTGATACAGAACTACAAACAGGATATAATACTTGTATATGAAATTTTATCAACCTATCGTGTTTACAGACACACATACACACACTCACACAGACATACGGACAAAATTGCATAACTATATTTTTTTTCCGACTCAGGGAGGTGTAAATCGATATCTGTGAAAATCTTGATTTTTTTATATTTTTTTTACGAGAAAGTAAAAAAGTAATATAGATCAGCTGAATGGAAGCAGAAATGATTAAAATTGAGGCTTAATGATATGTTTTCATGTATATACCTCACCTGCCAACAATATTCACAATTATGTGCCATCTGTTCTACGATCTTATTCTTCCCAACATAAGGTCCAAATCTTGTCCGAGCAGGAAAAAATGTTGTAGCAAAAACACCAAGTCCAGCATCAGGTATATCAGATGTTTTAATGACCAGCCCAGGGGGAAGAGTTTTCCTACAGTAATCTTTGTCCTTGCCTCTGATGCAGTCTGGTGGAACCTGTTTCACACAACAACAAAAAAACATTTCAATTTTAGAATTTGATCACCTAATTTGTTTACTATTTATAGCTTGAGTTTTTTACACACCTCTAACCATTGGCTAAATGCTAAAAAAAAGGGTACTAGTTCTAGAAGATTAGAAAACATAAACTGCTATTGAGGACACTACCCCTGCATTAGGTAACTGAAATTACAACAGCCAATTTTTTACCTGTGAATCTGAAATGATATTTAGAGGACCATGTACAGTACAATCTCCTATGTATTCAATGTTGCACTCTTCACAAACTGAAATAAAGTGTTAGACAACTAATTAACAAAATGGATCAGGTCAGGGTTAGGTTATTCACATAAATATATATATATATATATATATATATATATATATATATATATATATATATATATATATATATATATATATATATATATATATATATATATATATATATATATAATATATACATATATCTATCATGCACAAAGGACTAACAGAGATACTATCACATCTGAAAAAAGCACTCACAGAGATATTCATCATCTTCAATGTGTGTTGCCACCTTCTCCAGAGCATTTGTTGGTGAAGAACACTGCAAGCTATCTATATCTTGTACTTCCTGAAGTTCAAGTTTTTAAATTGCTACAATAAATTCTAATGTGTATGAATAAGTGTGAGCCCATTAACTCCAATTGTTAATTTATTACTGTAAGTAAAGAATAATAGTTTGTAAAACCTCATGTATTCCCATTACGCATTTCCTGATGAAGATATTTTTTTTAGAAAAGCACTAAGTATGGTGTCAAGTTTGTAACTATTTACATCCACATCTTTTAAAGTCAATATAGAAATCATACCCAGCCAAGTTGAACAAGATCAATACTAACAGACATAAAACAGTCCTATTGCATTAAGAACCATGTTAAACCAAACATTCACAGAACACAATTTTACAGAAATGAGATTAATACTAAAACAAATAAGAAATACACCATGACATTTTAGAAATATTTATCTTACTGACCATTAGTTTAGAATTCTCTTTACTTTTCTCAAGCTGACACAGAAAACTTGATATCCTTGCTTTCCTTTTCTCTCCACCTATTTAAATTTAAAAAAAAAAAAATTTAAGCATAGAAACGTTTTAAGACTTCTAGCCATTCATACAATAAAAAAAGATTTACCCTCTAAAGCTGGAGTCCAGTCTGGATCAGAATCATCAGAAGTTGAAAAAAAGTCTAGCATTGATTTACATGTCATTTCCTGAATTTCCATTTCAGAACTCCCTGCTACAAGACCTGCAAAAATAAATTTACAACTACTGTAAAACCAGTGTAATCACATTTCTTTGAAAAACATGCAGTCTTTTTTAACAAAGAAATATTGTTCTTTGTAATGTGACTACAATTTGTGTTTGACTGAACTTTCAGAAGGCATATTATTTGTATTTACCCTTCATAAGACAGACTTAGAAAATCAATCATGTGTCGACTGGTAAAATTGATACACACGAAATAAAATTTAGAATTACAAACTTTTTATAAATATTTCTTACCGTTTAATTTCACATACCGTAACTGGTTCAAATGGTGTCTGTGGTAGGACTTACAAAAACTATATACATGATAATATTTACATAAAGAAAACCCTTACCAGCTTTGCACAGCTCATCAGAATTTATTCATATAGGACCTACTACTGTGGTGATAAGCCATAACCACATTTCTGCTTGGCTGGTAATTTCAACCCAATCTTTTTCACAGATTTAGTTTATTTTAAGATTTATTGTTAGGTTAAGAAATGAAAAATGATGTTGTTAGTGACCCATCTATCTATATACTACTAAAACTCAAGTTTGTTTACATGTTTGAATATTTATTTGTTTGTTTGTCTGATTTGGTACTGTAAGGAAACTGCTCTATATGGGGGGCTGTAAAATAGTATGTAGGTAGAGAACAATTTTTGATTGCAGACAGACTGTTAATCATTTATTCATTTGGTAGATTAACCACATTAATTATAAAAGCTTAGAACAATGACTTTAGTAATAGTAAAATATTTATTTTTTTACAACAATGTTTTCAATTATTTTTTCTTAAGGCCTATATGTGAATGATAAGGTTGACTATCAGGACCTCGCGGGGCACAGGGTAGGTGAAGTAGAGTTCACCTGTTTCTATGTTCTCAGCATATGAAGGGATAGTGTGGTCAGAGCCATGCTCGGTCGGATTAGTTTTTTTTCTAAGACTTGGCGGGGCACTGGGCAGGTGAAGTAGAGTTTTTAAAATATAAAAAACGTCTTTTTGAATGTGAGGTCTGGTTATTTTGGGATGATAAGTGCTGGCAGACGTGATGTCATTTATGGATGACCCCCCGAAACCCAGTTATCTAACTAGATAACGGGTAGTCTAGTATGAATTAAAGGAGGGACTGACTGGGGCAATGTTCATCATGGGCTGTCAAAGTTTTACCCAGAAATTGGGAGATGTGACATTAATCAGATTAGAGGTTCTGCACCTGATTTTACTCACCCCCCCCCCCTTTCCAGAGCAATTATAGTTATAAGGTAAAGAAGTTTAAAAAGTAAAGCTACCCTTTTGAACCTGGTGGTCCATTTGACACATCAAGTAGAGTTCACCTGTTTCAGTGAGCTCAGCATATTAAGGAGATAGTGTGGTTAGCTCTATGTCCAGCAGCCATTTCACCAACATGAGTCAGGTTCTCATCAGATTTAGGTGGCCTTAGAAGAATAATGGTTTAGACAGGGACTAGCAAGCATCTCTTGCATGATGGCTAGAGCAGTGTTAGAGACAAAGTAGTAGAAAAGGATATTATGTACAGCATTAGAGTTGTTAAAATAAGGTCATTTGGTCTGTGTTATGTTTGATTTCTTTTATGATAGGCCCATAACTTCAAATCCTCTTACAAACAGATTGACAGAAGATTTCTTTTAGTGATCAATGGTGTTGATTTATTCTTCTTCACTATTTATGCACCCCCCCCCCTGTAGTTTGTAAGTTTCAGGTATTAGGGGTGTGTAACATTGTATTTATTGTTATTAGCAGCACTGGCTGTATAAATCATATAATGTAGAGTTAAAGGTCATGAATGACATGTCAGGTAGCAATAACCAATACACAACAATCTCTGGGTCATATGTAGTCGCCTCCACCTGACACCACAAACTGTCATATACACATTTACATACCTACATTCCAATACACACACATATATATATATATATATATATATATATATATATATATATATATATATATATATATATATATATATACATTTTTATTTATAGGTTTGTAGGTCTGTATATATGTATGACAGATTGTGTTATCAGGTGGAGGCAACAAGTTGATAAACTTCAAAAAGAATGTGGGGGTTGTTTATTTGTTTGTTTCTCACACCTATTAGATTGGGTACTTGCAGGGAAATTGTTCTTTGATGGTAAAAATAGATTGAAATAATTAATCTTCAAACTTGAGAGTAGTTGTTTGTTGAAATTTTTTAAAAATGTGAGTTGTATAGAGTGGTATAGAGCAATAGTTTTTTTTTATGTTTTTAAAATCACTAAACTCCTGTTTGCGGCTTCTAGTTTGGATTTCTATTCACCTAAAACAGACAATTCTGTTTTAAAAGTGACTAATGGAACATGCATAGATTTGTTTCTTATTACTTCTTCTTTGTTATTGATTGTATTTGATTCCAACAAAAGTAAGTATTATGTGTCAATGTTATGTACCATATGAACTATTGACTCACATTGCTTTTCTTTTGGCTTTGATTCCATAGCCTTTGTTCAACCAAGTACAACATACAAAGTTGCAGTTGTTTCATGTTTGGAGTTTTCTCTCCTAGATGGGTTGCTGTTCCAGGCTAACTGAGCCTCATTTGCCCACAGGTCCATATTTGGAACTTTTGGAGTTGCGACCACACTATATCCTATCCTTTTGTTTGACATTATAATAATATTCAGGCTCAATGGTTACACATTAAAATTTTGTGGTTTATTAAACTACTGTATCATAACACTGCATTGCATGTCACTGTGTTTTTAAAGGACTAGTTATAAAACTTTAAATTTAGTGTATATGCTTTGTTACGTTTTTTTTTAAGTATATGAAATTCCTTTCTCATATTTTTGAAAAAAATATTTGCCATTTATAAGCATAAACAGGTTCCATATAACTAGAGCTCATTCTTTTTGAAGAATGCATGTAGTAAGATCTGCCTTGTGTCAGAACAAAACCCAAGGCTGTTTTTACATGGCCATTTACACAGAGTATTATGATAGGCACAAAAAATAACTTTAAAATAGGTATTGTCTTATCGGGTGTTGCAAACTAAAAACAGAGTGTAGATGGTACCAAACAATTAATTATAAGGTGGGCATCACTAGCTACATTGATTGCCACATATAGTTAACAGCACTAATGCAAGTCTTTATAGTGAACACAAACAAATCTTAAGTAGACAACATTAAGTTTCTGTCCACAGAAGTTTAATACAAATCAAGTGCTTGAATAATTTTCACAAGGAGAAAAAGAAAAACATTTGGAGACAAAATTTTACTACTGTAATAAGCAAGTAATTCTTCCTCAATTGAGGGTTAGTGTGTGTAGGGGCCTATCCTGAGAGATATCACAATACAGTTGCTCCAACAAACCCCCTTAGACACTCCTGACAATTAGATGAAGGGTGTTCACCCCTCCAACTATTATTACATCCACAACAGTGGTAGGTGTGGACAGATACATCACAGATCTAAAACAAAAATACTATTGGTAACAGTAGAATGTAATCAAATTGAGTGTCCTTGAATGTCTCAGATCCCAGCAACCAGCATGCTAGTAATCCTGTTTTTTTTTAATTTATTAAAGCTTTCCAAATAAACAACAGCCTGGTCTGAAATATCAACTATTTTATTTGACAAAGTTATGTTATATCACAAAACAGTGGTGGTTACATAACCTAACAAATCATATCACAGAGGAAAGTTCAAGGTAATATTTTGTGGATTTTTTGGAGTGATTAGAACAACTCAAACAACATAATCAAACTAACAAGGTTTTCTCAGGTGAAGATTCTGTGGCGGCTCTTTTAATCAAGTTTGTTGTCAAACATTTACCACAACATTGAGACCTGTAAGGTTTTTTGCCTCAACTCCTTGATTTCTTCAAAAGTGATGTTGTCAAGTAAAACATGTACTGTAATACAATTATAAGGCTTTTATGCAGTGGATTTTCTGACGCTGTTTTCAATCTCTTTTATTTATAAAACAATTACCACATTGGTAAGACATGTAAGCCTTTATTCCAATAAAATTTAAATTATTTAATAATTTTGGATCCGCTTTGTGCAAAATATTTCCGACATTGGACACACATATAAGGCTTTTCTCCTGTATGAATTCTAAGTCTGTCTCTTTACATCAAAACTATTTGTAAAACATTTATCACATTGGTCACACTTATATGGTTTTTCTCCAGTATGAATTTTCTTGTGTTGTTTTTTAAACACTATTACATGTAAAACATTTACCACATTGCTCACACTTGCAAAGCTTTCCTCCATTATGCAATTTCAGGTGTAAATTTAAATTGACACTCTGTGCAAAACTGTATGAACTCTTTGATGTCCTTTAAATAGTTGTAACTATGTGAAACATTTATTACATTGGTCACACTTTTAAGTTTTTTCTCCAGTATGAATTTTCTGGTGTTTTTTTAAAACATCATTACGTGTAAAACATTTACCACATTGGTCGCACTTGTAAGGTTTTTCACCTGTATGACCTCTTTGATGTCTTATAAATTTCTGTAGCTGTGTGAAACATTTATTACATTGGTCACACTGGTAAGGCATCTTTTCAGCATGTTGTTTCTGATGTTGCTTTAAAACACTATTGCTAGTATAACTGTTACCACATTTGTCACACTTGTAAGGTTTTTCTCCAGTATGAGTTCTTTGATGTATCTTTAAGTGGTTGGGCTTTGTAAAACCTTTATTACATTTGTCACATTTATAAGGCTTATTTTCTAAGTGTAATAGCTGATGTATCTTTAAACTTTTATTTGATAAATAACATTTACCACATTGGTGACACTTGTAAGTTCTTTCATCTGTATGAGTTTTAATGTGTCTATTTACATCACTGATCTGTCTAAAATATTTGCCACAATGGTGGCACTTGAAAGACTTTTCTCCAATATGAGTTTTCTTGTGTCTCTTTAAATCACTTCGAGTTAAATAACATTTACCACACTGGTCACACTTGTAAGGTCGTTCACCAGTATGAATTCCTTGATGTATGTTTAAGCCGTGTCGCCTTGAAAAATATTTACTACATTTGTTACACTTGTACGGATTTTCACCAGTATAAAGTTTTTTTGCAAGTAATAGCTGATGTTTCTTTAAATCACCTATTTGTTTAAAACATTTTCCACAATGGTCACACTCGTAAGGCCTTTCACCTGTATGGATATTAATGTGTATCTTTAAATTACCATTCTGACTAAAACATTTACCACAACGGTCACACTTGAAAGGCTTTTCTCCAATATGAATTTTCAGGTGTCTCTTTAATTCATTACAGTTTTTAAAACTTTTAACACATTGGTCACACTTGTAAGGTCTTTTACCGGTATGAATTCCTTGATGGTAATTTAAATTATCTATCCTTGAAAAACATTTATTGCATTGGTCACACTTGTAAGGTTTTTCACCAGTATGAGTAAGCTGATGTGACTTTAAATTATGACTCTGACTAAAATATTTACCACATTTGTCGCACTTGTAAGGTTTTTCTCCTGTATGAATTCTCTGGTGTCTCTTTAAGTGTTGTGCTTGTGTAAAACATTTATTACAATCGTTACACTTGTAAGGCCTTTCTCCTGTGTGAGTTTTTAGATGTTTCTTTACATGTTTTAACTGCTTGAAATATTTATTACATATCGTACATAGGTGAGGCCTTGATTCCTTAAGGATTATCTTGTGATGATTTAAGTTGGATGATGGGGAAGAACGCTCACTAGAAACTCTCCAAAACTTGTAGGCATTGCAATCTGTAAAATGTTTGGCAGAAAAATCTCTGAAGGGTCCCAACATTTGAAAAACAGAGATGGAACTGACCCCACAATCAAATTAGAAAATGTTTTCTGTACTGAAAACTAAATCCATTGCCAAAGCAACGGTTATTTAAGATAATAAGATATGTCAATAACATTGTAAAGTGTAAAATTTAAGTTTAATTTAAATTAAATAAAAAATCAATTATTACAGAGTTAACAAGCTGTGTTTTGTATTTTAGATAATAACTAGCCGTCGGTACCCGTTACACGTGAATTATAGGCATATATATTTTAATGTTACACTTGTTTGGGAAAAATATTTTATAAAATAGTTATTGGTCAAAACGCAATGTTCTTTACTACAAAGTTTCCCTTTCAAACCTGACGGTCTATGGGGCAAATGAGGTAGAGTTCACTTGTTTCTGTGACCTCAGCATATGAAGAGATAGTGTGGTCAGCACTATGCCCAGCCACCTTTACTTTCCCTAACGTGAGTTAGGTACCCATCAGAGTTGGGTGGACTCAGGGACGGTCTACTGACTTGAACCCGGATTCGAACTCGAGATCTACCGCTAGACCACTCCGTCCCATCTTTACTACAAGTCCAATGAAATTAGTTTCAAAGCAGAGAAATAACTAAATAGCTAAAAATCCAATGCATTTAAAATAATATATGCTAATATACCTATTAGAAAAACCAAATTATATACATTATTAGTCAACACAACACCATATTAAATGCACACACTGATTAAGAGACTTAAATGATTCCATTAAAAACCCGGCTGTTCAATGTTTTTAAAATAATTTGTATTACTTTAGGCCAAGAAAATTGTATACATTTCGTAGCATACGTCTTATTAAGTAAATCTATAGATCAAAATCAAATTTGAATGAAATAGTTAATTTCTTCTTATTCTAAAATTGGAAGACTCTTTTAATTTTGTGTACTTTTTTTTAGTTTAAACATGTGACGTCATTGGTTTTTTCTTGCGTTCTTTTAACAATAATAAATGCTTTTCCGGTTGCATAATTAAAATTGCGTTTTTACTTTCGAATATGCCTTTTTTTTATTTTTGTTCTTTAAATAAAATATAGTTTATATATTTAAAACATCCAACAAATTTTTTTCAACACAATTCCGTATATTTAAGTTCTCCATATATTAGTGAACATACTGATCACATTGCCTAAAAATGTACCAGACAGAGAGAGAGAAAAAGTGCGCACATGGGCTTTTATAGATTAGGATATCATTATGATATTAATTTCTGTATAAGCTTTTCCCCTCACCTAATAAATGCCAGTAACCTAACCCAGTTCTGAGTTGTTATTTATGGTTGGGTTCATCTTATTAAACCTAATAGCTCTATCAATTTAGTTTTTTAACCTAAAAAAATGAACTCTAAAAACTACAACGTTTAAATTATATTTTCTTTTAAAAGTGCTGATAACATTCAGCCAGAAGATACAACTGTGTTTTCTAGAGTCACTAAGGCATATCAATTACCACAATAAGACATTTTGGTTAAAGGGGAGAGGGTTAAGGAAATGTGTGTAGCTAAAGGGTCCTGGAAAGTGGATACAATTATTTATTTACAAATTTATTTATATCTCAATTGAAGAATATCAGTGTCTCAATACAAATTAATATTTGCCATTCAAAAGTTGGCTATCAGAAATAATATAAAAGATATCAAATCTTTACTTCCTCATAGTAATCAACAATAATTAAGTAAAAAAATCAAAATTGAGATTTTGACAATTTTTACACCACTCTAAGTCAGAAAAACTTAGTGAAAAAAATTAGCAATCTTGTCCATCTGTCTAAGTATGTAAACACGATAACTTGAATGCTGATTTAGTTAGGATAACAAAAATTTCATATACTTAACCTATTTCTCTTTTTGGTTTCTAAAATACTGGTCTTGAGTAAAATTTAGGTGAACAAAACTGTAATTGGATTTCTGACAACTAGTAAGAACTTTCCAGTAACCTGATGGGGAATTATTTTTTTAATTTGATAATTATTTATCCCCATTTCTTGCGAGCAAAATTTTGACCACTTCTACAGAATCGATTTCTTTTAAAGTTTTCATGTTGGTCAAGCCTTGGTGACAATGCATATTTGACTTAATTAGATATTTAATTAACTTTTTAAAAATTAACGAATGTTTCCTTTATAAATTACTCTTCTTCTTCGTTCTTAATTATTATTGTTGAAGGGGATCGAGATTTATCTGCCAGTGGGTTTGAACTCGAGACTTTGTTCGAATTTATCAACCTTTTTGCCGACTCGACCACGCCTCCAACACAATTAAGCGTTACGTGTCAACTGGTTATGCGCCATTGAGGCCATTGACTCCGATTTCAGCCTGCTTTTCTTTTTGGATTTGCTTCCATAGCCTTTGTCCAACCAAGAACAATCTACAAGGCAGCAGTTGTTTAATTTTGGAGTTGTCTCTCCTAGAAGAGTGGCTGTCCCCAGCTAACGAGCCTCATCTGCCCGAGGGTTCGAACTCGAGACTTTTCGGTTTAGCAACCATGAGCTTTACCGACTCGACCACGCCGACCCCTATAAATTACTAATTTCCGCTCTATTGTACACACATTGTTTGCATTCATTTGGTGCGCAATTATGGGTTTTTTTTTTTTTGTGTTTTCTCAAAAATAAGCAATGTTGTCACAAATGTCTATATTCCTATTGCTGCATTGCACTTGAAGTGCCATCCAAACCCTTATTGTTATATAAGAATATATGAGAAAGTTTAAGGGAGATCACTTCAACTTAATTTTTTATCTGCCATGGAAAAATTATTTTTTACATACAATTGTTTTTAATCAAAAAGTCATTTTTCTGGAAAAGATCTTATACAGAAAAGGAAAACTGTATTTAAGTTAACAATATTCAAGCGGAGTTGATGTTTGAGGATATTGTGGGAAACAAATAGACTACTTGCTTTAACTAAACCAATTGAAATTTGATGAGCAAAATGAGGAGGAGCATAGTGAGATCATAGTGGGTAGTGAATGACTATGTATTCACTTACAGACATTAAATATAGACTAAGTGACACAGACAATACTAAAAGTTGAAATAAATGAATAAATATATTTACCATTCTTGTTGCTCATATTCTTTAGCAAACTGTTCTTGCTAACAGCGTTAGCCCTATCTACCTCAATGCCCAGTTCTCTGGCGTAACTATCACCATAATACACCTGAAAATGTCATAAATCAGATGAATCCTAGTCAACAGTCAGTCAAATGATACTATGTACCTATATCTGCCTAGGTGTTTGGTGAGTATTGGCTACTTCTGCCCACACATTTGTGTCACCTGTATTTCCCCAGGTGTTTGTCACTTGCAACTGCCCAGGTGTTGGAGTGTACTAGCTACTTCCAATCCAGAACTATCCTTTCTGGCTCTTGGAGTGAACTATTAACTTCTTCAAACTTTACACCATTATGTTCTAGGCCTACCAAGGCTTCATTGAAAAAAATGGTTGCAATTTCTCTTACTATTATTCAGTAACGAGCCGGCCCGCGGCATAACATACGCCGCTATTTAGTTGTTTCTAATTTTCAATAATTCATAATTTGTGAATTCGACAGTACCAACGCTGACACTGAAAATATTTCTTTAAAACACTATAAGTAGCTCGTTAAGGACCATAACCCCCCCCCCTTCCTTCCCTCCCCCCCTCCTCCCCCCCCCCCTACGTTTAAAATCGTTGGCTCTGCTTGTAAACATTTAGAGTGAACACAGCTCACTAAAACCATGTAGGGGTGGGGAGGTAGGGAGAGCGTTTGCAGCTTGTTTTCTAACGGCTCGAAGAAGAGAATTATATATATAGATGTTATGTAGCTCAAAGTAAGCTTTAATATTTTTTCTACCCAACCCATAGTTGGCACATGGAGCAGCCACCCTCCCCACCCTCTTCTTGTTCATAACAACATAACATAACACAATACAACACAGCACAAAAATATAATGAACACTTTTACCATATAATTAAAACTTATCTTTAATGTAACTAGAAAGTTAACGCTTAACCCAAACACTGATAAACATGTTAATGGAATGGAAATCCTGAAATTTAAGTACTAAACTTATATTTAAACCTCAATTTTAATTTAGATTTGTATGTGAAGCAAAATAACAAATCTAAAATTGAAAGAAATGCTAAAATTTATTTAAAATTCTAAGGTTCAACCACAAATTAAATAAATCTTTGTACTGATATTACTTTAGCTAAACATAAGAAGTCGCAGATGAACAAAATAATTTATAATTCTGTATAGTGTTTCTCTTTTTATTATTTTATTTTTGTACTCACTGTTCAACATACAAGGTTTAGAACTAAAAGAGCAAATTTTTATGATAAAATTAAGTGAAATTCAATACTGAAGTTGTAGTTTATTCAGATTCTAAAGACCTGTAAATTTTTTAATGTGAGTAATCTTGGATAAATTTAATAAAGCAAAAACTTTTTTGTTACAAATATTATCTAATTTGTTAATGATGCAAGTTTTTGAGCAGTTATTTCAGTGATGTCAACTTATTTATCTAAAACGGTTGTACCCACCAGTATTCAGTGATGTCAACTTTTCTATCTAAGACAGATGTACCCACCAGTATTCAGTGATGTCAACTTATCTATCTAAGATAGATGTACCCACCAGTATTCAGTGATGTCAACTTATCTAAGACAGATGTACCCACCAGTATTCAGTGATGTCAACTTATCTATCTAAGACAGATGTACCCACCAGTATTCAGTGATGTCAACTTTTCTATCTAAGACAGATGTAGCCACCAGTATTCAGTGATGTCAACTTTTCTATCTAAGACAGATATACCCACCAGTATTCAGTGATGTCAACTTTTCTATCTGAGACAGATTTACCCACCAATATTCAGTGATGTCAACTTATCTATCTAAGACAGATGTACCCACCAGTATTCAGTGATGTCAACTTATCTATCTAAGACAGATGTACCCACCAGTATTCAGTGATGTCAACTTTTCTATCTAAGACAGATGTACCCACCAGTATTCAGTGATGTCAACTTATCTATCTAAGACATGTACCCATAGTATTCAGTGATGTCAACTTATCTATCTAAGACAGATGTACCCATAGTATTCAGTGATGTCAACTTATCTATCTAAGATAGATGTACCCACCAGTATTCAGTGATGTCAACTTATCTATCTAAGACAGATGTACCCACCAGTATTCAGTGATGTCAACTTTTCTATCTAAGACAGATGTACCCACCAGTATTCAGTGATGTCAACTTTTCTATCTAAGACAGATGTACCCACCAGTATTCAGTGATGTCAACTTTTCTAAGGCAGTTGTACCCACCAGTATTCAGTGATGTCAACTTTTCTAAGACAGATGTACCCACCAGTATTCAGTGATGTCAACTTTTCTATCTAAGACAGATGTACCCACCAGTATTCAGTGATGTCAACTTTTCTATCTGAGACAGATTAACCCACCAATATTCAGTGATGTCAACTTATCTATCTAAGACAGATGTACCCACCAGTATTCAGTGATGTCAACTTTTCTAAGACAGATGTACCCACCAGTATTCAGTGATGTCAACTTTTCTATCTAAGACAGATGTACCCATAGTATTCAGTGATGTCAACTTATCTATCTAAGATAGATGTATCCACCAGTATTCAGTGATGTCAACTTATCTATCTAAGACAGATGTACCCACCAGTATTCAGTGATGTCAACTTTTCTATCTAAGACAGATGTACCCACCAGTATTCAGTGATGTCAACTTTTCTATCTATTACAGATATACCCACCAGTATTCAGTGATGTCAACTTTTCTATCTGAGACAGATTTACCCACCAATATTCAGTGATGTCAACTTATCTATCTAAGACAGATGTACCCACCAGTATTCAGTGATGTCAACTTATCTATCTAAGACAGATGTACCCACCAGTATTCAGTGATGTCAACTTTTCTATCTAAGACAGATGTACCCACCAGTATTCAGTGATGTCAACTTATCTATCTAAGACATGTACCCATAGTATTCAGTGATGTCAACTTATCTATCTAAGACAGATGTACCCATAGTATTCAGTGATGTCAACTTACCTATCTAAGATAGATGTACCCACCAGTATTCAGTGATGTCAACTTATCTATCTAAGACAGATGTACCCACCAGTATTCAGTGATGTCAACTTTTCTATCTAAGACAGATGTACCCACCAGTATTCAGTGATGTCAACTTTTCTATCTAAGACAGATGTACCCACCAGTATTCAGTGATGTCAACTTTTCTAAGACAGTTGTACCCACCAGTATTCAGTGATGTCAACTTTTCTAAGACAGATGTACCCACCAGTATTCAGTGATGTCAACTTATCTAAGACAGATGTACCCACCAGTATTCAGTGATGTCAACTTTTCTATCTGAGACAGATTTACCCACCAATATTCAGTGATGTCAACTTATCTATCTAAGACAGATGTACCCACCAGTATTCAGTGATGTCAACTTTTCTATCTAAGACAGATGTACCCACCAGTATTCAGTGATGTCAACTTTTCTATCTAAGACAGATATACCCACCAGTATTCAGTGATGTCAACTTTTCTATCTGAGACAGATTTACCCACCAATATTCAGTGATGTCAACTTATCTATCTAAGACAGATGTACCCACCAGTATTCAGTGATGTCAACTTATCTATCTAAGACAGATGTACCCACCAGTATTCAGTGATGTCAACTTTTCTATCTAAGACAGATGTACCCACCAGTATTCAGTGATGTCAACTTATCTATCTAAGACATGTACCCATAGTATTCAGTGATGTCAACTTATCTATCTAAGACAGATGTACCCATAGTATTCAGTGATGTCAACTTATCTATCTAAGATAGATGTACCCACCAGTATTCAGTGATGTCAACTTATCTATCTAAGACAGATGTACCCACCAGTATTCAGTGATGTCAACTTTTCTATCTAAGACAGATGTACCCACCAGTATTCAGTGATGTCAACTTTTCTATCTAAGACAGATGTACCCACCAGTATTCAGTGATGTCAACTTTTCTAAGACAGTTGTACCCACCAGTATTCAGTGATGTCAACTTTTCTAAGACAGATGTACCCACCAGTATTCAGTGATGTCAACTTATCTAAGACAGATGTACCCACCAGTATTCAGTGATGTCAACTTTTCTATCTAAGACAGATGTACCCACCAGTATTCAGTGATGTCAACTTATCTATCTAAGACAGATGTACCCACCAGTATTCAGTGATGTCAACTTATCTATCTGAGACATGTACCCACCAGTATTTCAGTGATGTCAACTTTTGTATCTAAGACAGATGTACCCACCAGTATTCAGTGATGTCAACTTTTCTAAGACAGATGTACCCACCAGTATTCAGTGATGTCAACTTTTCTATCTAAGACAGATGTACCCATAGTATTCAGTGATGTCAACTTATCTATCTAAGATAGATGTACCCACCAGTATTCAGTGATGTCAACTTATCTATCTAAGACAGATGTACCCACCAGTATTCAGTGATGTCAACTTTTCTATATAAGACAGATGTACCCATAGTATTCAGTGATGTCAACTTATCTATCTAAGACAGATGTACCCACCAGTATTTCAGTGATGTCAACTTATCTAAGACAGATGTACCCACCAGTATTCAGTGATGTCAACTTTTCTATCTAAGACAGATGTACCCATAGTATTCAGTGATGTCAACTTATCTATCTAAGATAGATGTACCCACCAGTATTCAGTGATGTCAACTTATCTATCTAAGACAGATGTACCCACCAGTATTCAGTGATGTCAACTTTTCTATATAAGACAGATGTACCCATAGTATTCAGTGATGTCAACTTATCTATCTAAGACAGATGTACCCACCAGTATTTCAGTGATGTCAACTTATCTAAGACAGATGTACCCACCAGTATTCAGTGATGTCAACTTTTCTATCTAAGACAGATGTACCCATAGTATTCAGTGATGTCAACTTATCTATCTAAGATAGATGTACCCACCAGTATTCAGTGATGTCAACTTATCTATCTAAGACAGATGTACCCACCAGTATTCAGTGATGTCAACTTTTCTATATAAGACAGATGTACCCATAGTATTCAGTGATGTCAACTTATCTATCTAAGACAGATGTACCCACCAGTATTTCAGTGATGTCAACATATCTAAGACAGATGTACCCACCAGTATTCAGTGATGTCAACTTTTCTATCTAAGACAGATGTACCCATAGTATTCAGTGATGTCAACTTATCTATCTAAGATAGATGTACCCACCAGTATTCAGTGATGTCAACTTATCTATCTAAGACAGATGTACCCACCAGTATTCAGTGATGTCAACTTTTCTATATAAGACAGATGTACCCATAGTATTCAGTGATGTCAACTTATCTATCTAAGACAGATGTACCCACCAGTATTTCAGTGATGTCAACTTTTGTATCTAAGACAGATGTACCCACCAGTATTCAGTGATGTCAACTTTTCTAAGACAGATGTACCCACCAGTATTCAGTGATGTCAACTTTTCTATCTAAGACAGATGTACCCATAGTATTCAGTGATGTCAACTTATCTATCTAAGATAGATGTACCCACCAGTATTCAGTGATGTCAACTTATCTATCTAAGACAGATGTACCCACCAGTATTCAGTGATGTCAACTTTTCTATATAAGACAGATGTACCCATAGTATTCAGTGATGTCAACTTATCTATCTAAGACAGATGTACCCACCAGTATTTCAGTGATGTCAACTTATCTAAGACAGATGTACCCACCAGTATTCAGTGATGTCAACTTTTCTATCTAAGACAGATGTACCCATAGTATTCAGTGATGTCAACTTATCTATCTAAGACAGATGTACCCACCAGTATTCAGTGATGTCAACTTATCTATCTAAGACAGATGTACCCACCAGTATTCAGTGATGTCAACTTATCTATCTAAGATAGATGTACCCACCAGTATTCAGTGATGTCAACTTATCTATCTAAGACAGATGTACCCACCAGTATTCAGTGATGTCAACTTTTCTATCTAAGACAGATGTACCCACCAGTATTTCTGTGCCAGCTGGGATGTCCCTGTGAGCCCTGTAGAAGATTTCACCCTGATGTTGGTATGCTGTGACACATTGCTCATCCTCAAAACGTGCACAATTTATAAATCTCATCCAGTTAGAATCAGAACTATCACCACCATCTACACAATAGGATGGCCTTCCATTCTTCATGATCTGAAGAACAATATAGAACCAGAACTATCATTCCCATTCTTATAAATCTAGTAATTAAAAAATCATTTAAATTGTGAGGTATCTGAAAAAGGCAGATGAAGAGGCCTCAGTTTGGAATGGGAAAATGTCAAGGATATTAATATAGAGCATCCCAAAAATGTGCAGTTCAAATGGAGAGCTCTAGAACAGTGGTTCCCAACCTTTTTCGAGTCGCGACCCCCTTTTATAAAAAGTAAGTGACCCGCGACCCCCATAGAATTAAAAAGCCGAAATTAGTATGGAAATTAATAAGCACTAAAATAAGATTTTCTAGTAGACTTTCAATATGAACTACTCTTGATAACTATTTTAATAGCATGAGTAAAATTGAATACTATTCACTAAACCTTCGTGGTTAAGTTTTTAATTTAAAAAAAAAATTGTTAACGCCAACCTATGTCATTATAATTATCTTAATTTTGTTTTTAATCGAAGAATACTGTTGAAAATATATTCTTGAAAAGTCAATCAATTTTACGTTTGGGTATGTATGAATGGTGAATACTACATCAAAATTGTGTCTGCAGTTTTTCATCTTACTCGGAATCATTCTGCAAATCAAAGAATTCATCTTGTAATTCATCCGTAATGCTGGCAACATCAAGGGAAGAAGAGAATGGGTAATGCGTAAATGCAGATTTTTCTTTTTTCAGCTCAGGGAAATAGCGATGCAGTTCGTTTTCAAGAGATTCAAGATGCCCAGAAATAGCTTCTTTCAAAATTTTAATTATCTCACAATCAGATTCATCTACCACACCGCAGAGTTTCTCAAATTTACAATATTTCCAAGATTTTTTTTCTTTACCGATTTTGTAGCTTTGATAAAAATGCCCCGAGATTATCATGGAAAGTTATAATATTCGTTCATTTTCCCTGAAGCTTCAGGTTAAGCTTATCTTGATGTTCGAACACATCTGCTAGTTATGATACTCTATCCAACCACTCTATGTCGTTTTAAGTATACCAAAAAGTCTTGTTTCCTTTGCACTTCCAAAAACAATTAGATTTCCGATTTCAATTCAAAAACACAATTTACAACATTTCGTTTGACAGCCAGCTTACTGTAGTGTAGAAGAGCAGAACCTCGTGATCTATATTAATGTTTTTGCTCAGTTCTTTGAAGGCTGCAGTCTTTATATAATTTACGACTTATACTAGCAATGGACTCTAGATGTCGATTGGTTAGGGCAGTGGTTAGGGAGGTAAATCTTTTGTTTTCTGAAAGCCCGATTTAGAGCTCTTACGACTTATACTAGCAATGGACTCTTGATGTCGATTGGTTAGGGCAGTGGTTAGGTAGCTAAATCTTTTCTGTTTTTTGAAAGCCCGATTTAGAGATAAACATAGATTGCGCACCATCCGTACAAACCCCAACAGCCGTTCTAACCCATTTTAATCATCCAGTTTCAAAAAAGGTATTTATTTTCTCCATGCTATCTTCACAAAAGAGCAACTCTTCTTTGCTATCATCCGCATGAATATAGACACAGACCAGCAACTGCGAACACGAACTCACGTCTGTTGATTTATTAACTTGAAAAGCAAACAATGGTGAAAGCTTAATTTCAATAAAAATGTGTTATTTAACATTTACGTAGATGAAGCGTTTGATTAGATTTTCTCCTATTGTTTTTAGCGCAATTTCCATACTGGAATTGCGATTATTAATTCGTCATTTCTGGATGTGTGTCCGCAGCTTTACCGCAGCTTTAAGTCATATCTCCTCCTCAACGAAGCAATATCGAGGACTAGTTTCAAAAGCAAATATGTTAATCAAGTTCCGAGGATGATTGTGGGCTAAAAATTCCCGGAATTCCTTCCTGGATTTCCCGGAAAAGCAAAAAAAAAAAAACTCGAAAAAATGCAGTTTTCGGACCATATCTCGTCAACCAGACCATTTAGCGACTTGAAACATTTACCAATCAATTCCTGCCATAATTTAGAACAATATTGCCGAAGAAAGTTTTCAAAAATATCCTTTCGTTCGGTCACAATTTTTTTTTAAAAATTACATTATACATAATACACTACATTACTATATAGCAATATAGAGAGCGCGACAACTAAATACCCCCTACACGTCCGCAAATTTTTAAAAATCTTGTTAATAAATATTTTTCTAATTTGTTTTGAATGATTAAAACTACTTGTGTTGCATTATTTATTTGCTGAATATATGATTTATCTCGATTTAAAATTGTGATGGATAACATAAGGAAATTGCGCTTAAATTGTCACTAGACTTTTTATTAACTTGTTTTTTTGTTTTTTTTTTGCTTGGCATTTTTTATCGCGACTTCATTTGATGCTTGCACTAATGCTGGTGAAAACTTCCTGTTTGATCAAGTCTCTGGCGTTTGCAACTAGCTTCTTACCGACGAAAAAACTCCATATATTTTTTGGTGTGTTCCGAATGACTCGTCTCAAATGGCGTTTTAGTTTTGAAGATTTCATAGATTCGTGACTGAGAACAACTTTGTACAGTGCACTTTGTTTCTTCTCTATTACATTTCCAGTGATGTTAATGAAGCTGAATTTCAAAAATTCTTCTAAATATTTATGTTTTGTTTCAAATTACTAAGGTTTAGTATACCAGTTGGCGACCCCCCAGAAAGACCTTCGCGACCCCCAGGGGGGTCGCGACCCCCAGGTTGGGAACCCGTGCTCTAGAAGATTACTAAAGCAGCTTGGTTTTTGATGTATAAAAAGGGAGATTATCACACTAACAAGAAAAAAGTAGACTTTTGTGAAAGCATATGGACTAAGGGGCTTGGGTCCTGTTGGACATCCAATAGTTGAATATATAACTTCAAAATACTTCTTTACACAAAAAATTTAATTTACAGACAAAATTCAGAAAAGATTATTGCCTGGAATGTGATTAATTTAAATTAATCATAATTCAGGCACTACCAGAGTTTCTAAAATATAGAATTGTTTCCCTTGAATAAACAGACAACATGAATAAAATTACAAAGTTGCATGATTTGATAAAACTTTTTCTGAAATATGATTGTTAAGTTTTTTATAATAGGGGTGTCTGATTTTTTGTAGAGATATATGATACTTGTGTAGAAGGATGTATTACATTTTTTTAAATACCATCATCTAGAGCCAACACAGGTGAGTGTAAACTGTAGAATAAAATAAACACTAGACCTCTTAGACATAATATATGAGGTATATATCATGAGAAGGGATAATACATCTAGTGCAAAGTTGTGAAGGGAAAAATGTGGGGAGCAAAGAATGGCTATACTAAGAATTTTACAAGTGACAATTTTTTTATTAATGAAAAGTTTTTATCATTTTCTATTTCCAGATTCTTTCATTTTTTTTTAACCCAACATCAACATTACCAGACAATTTTAAAAATAAAAAAAATATTCTACTCTTAATTTAAAACATTTTCCAGACTGTGTAAAAACCTTGTTATTCAATATTTGTCTTTATGGCAAGGCTGCACTCCCCAAAAAAATTTCCGGTAAAAACAAATACCATGATTTTCCATATGAATAGGTTTCTGTCCTTAACTTTTTTTATAATATTACTTTTCACACCCTTTTTTTGTAAATTAACTGAGTACAGTGAAATACTATAAAAAATGTATCAGCATAATGATGACTGATGATATTAAATCGTCCACATTGCACATAATAAATGGTTGTTTTTTTTTTAAATAAAAGGACTGCAATTTGAATTTAAATTGCTAGAAACTACTGGATGACATAGTCAACTCATAGAGCCTTTGACTACTGGATGACATAGTCAACTCATAGAGCCTTTGACTACTGGATGACATAGTCAACTCATAGAGCCTTTGACCACTGGATGACATAGTCAACTCATAGAGCCTTTGACTACTGGATGACATAGTCAACTCATAGAGCCTTTGACTACTGGATGACATAGTCAACTCAAAGAGCCTTTGACTACTGGATGACATAGTCAACTCATAGAGCCTTTGACTACTGGATGACATAGTCAACTCATAGAGCCTTTGACTACTGGATGACATAGTCAACTCATAGAGCCTTTGACTACTGGATGACATAGTCAACTCATAGAGCCTTTGACTACTGGATGACATAGTCAACTCAATCAGCCTTTGACTACTGGATGACATAGTCAACTCATAGAGCCTTTGACTACTGGATGACATAGTCAACTCATAGAGCCTTTGACTACTGGATGACATAGTCAACTCAATCAGCCTTTGACTACTGGATGACATAGTCAACTCATAGAGCCTTTGACTACTGGATGACATAGTCAACTCAATCAGCCTTTGACTACTGGATGACATAGTCAACTCAAAGAGCCTTTGACTACTGGATGACATAGTCAACTCAATCAGCCTTTGACTACTGGATGACATAGTCAACTCAATCAGCCTTTGACTACTGGATGACATAGTCAACTCATAGAGCCTTTGACTACTGGATGACATAGTCAACTCAATCAGCCTTTGACTACTGGATGACATAGTCAACTCATAGAGCCTTTGACTACTGGATGACATAGTCAACTCATAGAGCCTTTGACTACTGGATGACATAGTCAACTCATAGAGCCTTTGACTACTGGATGACATAGTCAACTCATAGAGCCTTTGACTACTGGATGACATAGTCAACTCAAAGAGCCTTTGACTACTGGACGACATAGTCAACTCATAGAGCCTTTGACTACTGGATGACATAGTCAACTCAATCAGCCTTTGACTACTGGATGACATAGTCAACTCATAGAGCCTTTGACTACTGGATGACATAGTCAACTCATAGAGCCTTTGACTACTGGATGACATAGTCAACTCAAAGAGCCTTTGACTACTGGACGACATAGTCAACTCATAGAGCCTTTGACTACTGGATGACATAGTCAACTCAATCAGCCTTTGACTACTGGATGACATAGTCAACTCATAGAGCCTTTGACTACTGGATGACATAGTCAACTCAAAGAGCCTTTGACTACTGGACAACATAGTCAACTCATAGAGCCTTTGACTACTGGACGACATAGTCAACTCATAGAGCCTTTGACTACTGGACGACATAGTCAACTCATAGAGCCTTTGACTACTGGATGACATAGTCAACTCAATCAGCCTTTGACTACTGGATGACATAGTCAACTCATAGAGCCTTTGACTACTGGATGACATAGTCAACTCATAGAGCCTTTGACTACTGGATGACATAGTCAGCTCATAGAGCCTTTGACCACTGGATGACATAGTCAACTCATAGAGCCTTTGACTACTGGATGACTTAGTCAACTCATAGAGCCTTTGACTACTAATCCAAGTCTTGAGTTCAGATCCAGGCTTGAGCCTGTATGACATCCCCCTTTGACTACTAATCCAAGTCTCAAGTTCAGATCCAGGTTTGAGTCTGTATGACATCCCCCTTTGACTACTAATCCAAGTCTTGAGTTCAGATCCAGGCTTGAGTCTGTATAACATCCCCCTTTGACTACTAATCCAAGTCTTGAGTTCAGATCCAGGCTTGAGTCTGTATAACATCCCCATTTGACTGCTAATCCAAGTCTTGAGTTCAGATCCAGGCTTGAGTCTGTATAACATCCCCCTTTGACTACTAATCCAAGTCTTGAGTTCAGATCCAGGCTTGAGCCTGTATGACATCCCCCTTTGACTACTAATCCAAGTCTCAAGTTCAGATCCAGGCTTGAGCCTGTATGACATCCCCCTTTGACTACTAATCCAAGTCTCAAGTTCAGATCCAGGTTTGAGTCTGTATGACATCCCCCTTTGACTACTAATCCAAGTCTTGAGTTCAGATCCAGGCTTGAGTCTGTATAACATCCCCCTTTGACTACTAATCCAAGTCTCAAGTTCAGATCCAGGCTTGAGCCTGTATGACATTCCCCTTTGACTTCTAATCCAAGTCTTGTGTTCAGATCCAGGCTTGAGTCTGTATAACATCCCCCTTTGACTACTAATCCAAGTCTTGAGTTCAGATCCAGGCTTGAGCCTGTATGACATCCCTGATGACGTCCAGCTCTAATGGATATCTGACTCAGGTAAAGACAGTTGGGCATAGTGCTGACCACATTATCCCTTCATTTGCAGAGGTCATCTATAACAGATCAACTTCTCCTGCCACATGGGCCATACAGTTCATAAGGGTACTTTACCTAATATTGTACCCTGGGTATCAAAATTGAATAAACATAGCAAAATCATCCAAGTAAGCAAAACATAGTTAATCTTTCACTTTTTATATCTTATAACACAATGATCCATTCTCATCTACATAGCTCACCTGCCAACAATACTTAGAGTCATGACACTGTTCAATGCTCTTATTCTTCCCAATATAAGGTCCAAATCTTGTCCGAGCAGGAAAAAATGTTGTAGCAAAAACACCAAGTCCAGCATCAGGTATATCAGATGTTTTAATGACCAGCCCAGGGGGAAGAGTTTTCCTACAGTAATCTGCATTCTTGCTTCTGATGCAGTCTGCTGGAACCTGTTTCACACAACAAAAAAACATTTCAATTTAAGAATTTCTTTATATATATATATATATATATATATATATATATATATATATATATATATATATATATATATATATATATATATATATATATATATATATATATATATATATATATATACATGTCTCATATCTTTACAATGAAAATCTTACTTCTGAAACTTTACAATTAAATCTTTAGTTGTTTTTTTTATACACCTTTCACCATTTGCTAAATGATAAAACAAGGGTACTAGTTCTATGGGTAGGTAATACAATTACATTAGTAAACATAAAGTGCTATTAAGGACACTACCACTGCATTAGGTAACCTTAATTACAACTGCCATTTTTTTTACCTGTGCATCTGATATGATATTTAGAGGACCATGTACAGTACAATCTCCTATGTAATCAATGTTGCACTCTTCACAAACTAAAATAAAACACCAAAGCAACTTACAAAATGGATCTAGTCAGAGTTAACACTAGAGATATGATAAAAGTTTAAGTCAGAATTTGAGTTTCCCATTGTCCATAGATATAACTGTATAACTATTTTAGTATATAACTATATATAACTATAACTATAGCCTATATATATATATATATATATATATATATAAATAAATGCTCTATATTTTAATAAGAAAAGAAATATATATAATGCTAGCTAACCCCTGTCTGTAACTTGTAATGAACTCATAGATATACTATTTTTTTTAAACAGTACTTACAGATATATTCATCATCTTCAATGTGTGTTGTCACCTTATCCGGAGTATTTGTTGGTGAAAAACAATGCAGGTTTTTTATAACTTGTACTTCCTAAAGTTGAAATTTTCATTCGTTAAAACTGTACATTGTTTCATTAAATTTTGAATGGTATGGATAAGTTTTGAGCAGTGTTGACTGCAGCTATAAATTTAGAAATGTTACATAAAGAATAGTTTAAACACCTCATGTGACCCCATTATTAATTTCATGATAAACAGAACACAATTTTACAGAAATGAGGTTAATACTAATACAAATAAGACATACAGCATGACATTTTAGAAATATTTCTCTTACTGACCATTAGTTTAGAATTCTCTTTACTTTTCTCAGGCTGACACAGAACACTTGATATCTTTGCTTTCCTTTTCTCTCCACCTATTCATATTAAAAATATTTTTTACGCAAAGAACTATTTTTAAGACATCTTGACATTCATAAAATTACAAATGAGTTACCATCTAAAACTGGGGGCCATTCAGGATCAGATTCATAAGATGCTGAAAAATAGTCAAGCTCCACTTTACTTTTCTTTTCCTGAAGTTCAGATTCAGAATTCTCTGCTACCATACCTGCAGGGATAAGTTATAAAAAGGAAGTAAATGATAACTCATTGAAAAAACATGGCTCTGATACCATCTTTCAGCAAAGTAGTATTGTTCTTTGAAATGTGATTTCAAGTTGGCACATGATCTGTGTTATTAATGTGAGTGGCCATCTGTATATTAATGTGGCATACTTTGATAATTATGTAGCTAGTGTTGAATTAAATCCAAATTTATATACATAACATTTTATAAAATCTCCTGCACTTTAGTAACATACCTTAACAAATTCAAAGTCTAAGTATGACTTACAAAAACTTAATATGTAACTAGCTTCGCTATCTTAGAAGAAATGAATTTAATTCAATTTACATGTTCGGTTATAGATTAATCCCCCCCCCCTATAGTTGTTGAGTTATTTAATAAGAATGGCCTTCAAACCTCCTTTTAGTGTCAGGTGAATTTCCAATACCAGCATGGATTATCAATTAGCACTTTAAGTTATTCCTAGATGTCGAATTGATTATTTTGAGTTGATTAGAACTATATTTAACATTGACAGCACTACATTTCTCATATCATAGTTGTGTAGTGCTGGTTTGGTCATACTACGCCCAGACATTCCAGGGTGGGCTGTATAAACATTGAATGTAAGTTAATGACCCTCAGCAAGTGTGAGGTATCAGGGGGCACCAATGTTGTCCCTGGTTTGGTTTAGTCATCAATTGTTGTAGCCAACAGAATCCCTAATCTAGAGTGTTCTTTAAACAAGTGCATGTACCATGGGGGAGCCCAGGGTGCTCAGTGTCACAAGACTGCAAGGTCAGTTTGAACATTGTATCATGTACTGTACACAAACATACCTTAATTTATATTTATGAGTATATATATATATATATATATATATATATATATATATATATATATATATATATATATATATATATATATATATATATATATATATATAAATATATATATATATATATAAAATATTTAAAGAAAAATCTTACAAGTGTTTCACGGATCATCATAATTTATTCATATACAATTGTGATGTTTAGCCATAACCACATTTCTGCTTAGTTGGTAATTTCAATAATATAATAATACTTCACTTGATATTTAGTTTTACGCTATGTCACACTATGAATTAAAGTATGTTGTTACATACAGTTATGGATCAAATCCGCACTGACTGAGGCTATGCCCTAGGATGACCACAAAATTGTGGGGTGAGCCATAAATCAGACAAGACACCATAATTAGGTTTGGCACATACTACCCCCCCCCCCCCCCCCCCCCCCCCCCCAGTGGAGCAGGTAAAGGGTGGGAAGATTGATTGGAGAACTGTGCATAGTTTAGACAGTGACTGACCGTGACGCATTTGGTGAGTAAATATCTCTTGCATGATGCCCAAGTAGAGACTAAGTAGTAGAGTTAGTTATTATATACATTAGATAGGTAGATCTATTAGTTAAAATAATGTCATTTGGTCTGTTTAGTAGGGGTCGGTGTGGTCGAGTGTGTAAAGCTAATGGTTACAAAACCGAAGTCTCGAGTGCAAACCCTTGGGCAGATGAGGCTCGTTAGATGGGGACAGCCACTCTTCTAGGAGAGACAACTCCTAAATCAAACAACTGCTGCCTTGTAGTTTGTTTTTGGTTGGAGAATGGCTATGGAAGCAAATCCAAAAAAAAAAGCAGGCTGAAAGTGATAGTTCAGTAAAAAAAATGTAGCTACTAATAAACAGGATTGTGAGTCTAGTTTCTAGTTTTTATAGCTAATTTCTTTAGTATATTTTTATTATTAAAGCTAGAACTCTGTTCAATAATTAGACTTCCACGTAATTTTTCAGCTTTGTCCGATGAACTAAATCCCACTTCACTTTGTATCGGAGTCTAATTTTTTTCTGATTGCTTAGTTCAAAATTTTTTAACTTTTCTGAAAGAGGGTACTTTGAAAATTTATTACAACATATTTTTCTATTCTTTTTAGAATAGCTGAATATTTTTATCTGTTAAATGTAAAAGGTCATGTGATCGTACATTATGTCACCATTATTATGGGTACAAGTTTAGAGTAGGAAACCCCACCAAGTTCATGTATGTTTTGGGTTTTAGTCATAATTTTAAACTAAATAGTAAATGATGTGTAGCTTGAAATACTTTACATAACAAAACAAAAAAAAAATCGATTTTTAGTGTGTTCTTTAATTTTAACTAGATGTTAATGTTATGTTAATGCCTGCAACACTTAGCTAGAATGGGGGGGGGGGAAAGGAGGGGATGAATAAGCTAAATCTTTAGGACAGTTGTAACAATGTCCATATATGCTAATGATCAGTGCACGAGTGCAGATGTATTTACACTTTGCAGTCAGCTTAAAAATAAACCCTTATTAAATTCCTTTAAAAGAATATAGTCCTTGTCTACAAAAAAAACTGTGGTAAGTTATGCGTCATTGAGGCCATTGACTCCAATTTCAGCCTGCTTTTCTTTTGGATTTGCTTGTTTGAGTCAATGCTCTTCTCTACATTCTTGTTCTATTTATATAGCCTTTTGATGTTACTTTGTCCAGCTGCACTCTCAGCATCTTTCAAACTAGTGACAAATGCTTTCTGTTGTATCCTCCCCTCTATTTCACTGATTGGTTTGCCTGTACTGCTTTGGGTATTTTTCTCAAAGCTTCTTGTGGTACATGTTGATCTCCTGCTTGGTAGTATTTTTTCCCACATCTCTGAGGTCATCCTATTTTAATGGTCTATCCTTAGTTAGTGCTGGTGTTTTTATGTAGTTGTTGGGGTTCCAATCAGTGTTTCCCTTGGATACTTCTATTGATCCTGTAAGGGCTGCTATTTATCTATGATTTCTCAGCTGAAAACTTACTTCATAACTTCACTCATTAGATAGCATGTGGTTAAATTGTGGTGTAGTTTACCAGGGCCATTGAAGGTTTTCAACAGTAGCTACAAGTTTTAGATGTTCTGAAGCTACATCTGGCCCTCATCTCACTAAAAAATCAAGTTGACTTCTGCACTTTTGTATCATTTTATCAATTTGATTTTTTGTTTGAGCATGTGATTGGGAAGTGGGGAAAGCAGGCATGTTGGGGAGTGGGAGGGGATGTTGGAGAAAGATGTCATGTGTGAAGGTTGCTGGTGGAAGTGTGGCTTAGTGACACAGAGTATTTGATATTTTCTCTCTCCAATTTATTTTTCACTAAAAAAACAAGTGTTAAATTACCTTCTGGTACAGCTACCAATGCTGAGCTCCATTCAGGACCAGGGACACCAGAAACTGACAATATGTCAAGCACTTCTTTATTTTTCTTTTCCTGAAGATCAAGTTCAGAGCTCTCTGCTGTAAAACCTGCACAGATTTATAATTATTTGAGTCAAGTTAATGAAAATTCATTGAAAAACACACAAAGCTTTCAGGAAAAAAAATGTTCTTGGAAATGTGACTACAACTTATAAGTGCATTAAGTTTGTGAATCAGAAGTTTAAAGAGTCAATTCAAGCAGAGATTATTTTGATGCAAAAAAAATCTACATATATATTATTATTCTATTTCTAACAATTAAATTCAACCCCAAAAATGAAAATGTCTCAATACTTAATTTCATAAAGCTAATGTCACTCTTGAGTACAGTGTCAAATCAGGTTACATCTAAAGGAATTTTTTAAAGAGATGTTAAGTAAATTTCCAAAAAAAGATATTAAAAAAAATTGATTAGAGAAAACCATTTACCTGTTTTGTTACACTTTTCTACAACAGGTACTCTCTGGTGGTGTTTTGTCATGTCTGTTTTCTCTGCAAAAAAACTATCACACTGGTCACACTTGAAAGGCTTTTCTCCGCTAAGAATTTTATGCTGGTGATTCTTACATTTGTCACATTGATAAGTTTTTTCCATATGGATGTTCTGGTGTCTCTTAAAAACTTGCTTTAGTGTAAAAACTTTATTACATTTGTCACACTGATAAGGCTTTTTTCTGATATGAATAAGTTGATGTGACTTAAAATGTTCTAGCTGTATAAAACGCTTACTACAAATATAACATTTGTAAGGTTTTTCTCTAGTATGAATTCTTGTGTGACTTTTCATAACATTATACTGTGCAAAAGATTTACCACATCGGTCACATTTGTAAGGCTTTTCTCCTGTGTGATTTCTTTGGTGTTTCTTCAAATTGTAGAATTGCATAAAACTTTTACAACATTTGTCACACTTGTGAAGTTTTTCTTGATTGTGAAATGAGTAGTGGAAATTTAAACTTTGGTGATACCTAAAAGACTTATTAGATTTGTCACTTTTATGGGGCTTTTCTCCTTTGTGAATTCTTAGATGATCCTTTAGATGGCGATGCTGTTTGAAATATTTTTTACACATTTTACATTGGTGAGGCCTTGTTTTCATCTGGATTAACTTTGGTTGATTCTGGTTGGATGGCTGGGAAGAATGGTCACTAGGGGTATGGAAAAAATCCTGATGTCTTTCAGCAAGGAATTTGCCTCCATGTTTGTACTTGACATGACTCTCCAAATAGGAAAGTTGGGTAAAAGCCACTGTACAATATTGGCAGGAAAAATAATCTGAAAAATGAATTTGTAAAAAACTATTACATCTCAAGTTACATAGAAACAATTACACACAAGGAGGTTGCAAACATCTTGTTACAAAAAAGTTTTAAACAGTCAAGTAAAAGATGCAGATGCTTATGTGTTTTGACCAGTGTTCTGCATGTGTCCCATAATCAAATCTTTATTTTAAAAAAGCTAAATCAGGTTAGATTATGTGTATAACACTCTGCTATTGAACTATATAACTATAATGACAACAACAATGCCAATGACGTAACTGATGTATATAATGTCACTGATGTGACTTTTAGTTACATATGATGAGGTGATGACTAACATTACAACATATAGCCCTTCATTAATTCTGTATACTTTCACCAGCTTCCAATGTATCAGAACATCGGAAGATGAAAGTTTAAAGACTGAGCACCCCGTGAAAGTCAATCTATCCCAGAGGTCATATTACACAAAAAAATACCTGTTGAATTCACTCACAAGAGCAAACAACACACTAATTATTTGCAGACCTGCAATCCAGTTAGAACTCTAAAACAGATTATGTCCCTTGGTAACAACAAATACAAAATATTATCTAACCAATTCTCACTGTCTTTCATTATTATAAGCTTACCCTAGAATGTCCTTAATAAACCGTTCTAATACACCTCAGAACATTCAAAAATAAAATACAAAAGCTTATAACTGGCAAATAAACTACATCTACCATAGGCCTACACACTGGTATTTTGAAGACTAATAAAATACTGGTGTGAATAGATATATTTACCAATGTTGTTGCTGACAATGTCTGGCAAACTGCTCTTGCTAGCAGCTTTATCACTCTCTACCTCAAGACCCAGGTCCCTGGTATAGGTGTTACCACTGTACACCTGGAAATGTCAGAAATCACTATCATAGAACAGGCCACAACAGACTGAAACAACACATGTATAAAAAACTAAAAGTTGGCTCTGGCAAAACTTGCCCTTATGGCATGGCCTCGGGGAATGCAGAGCACGTCCTTCAGGACTGTTCCTTGTAAAACCAGGCGCGATCCAAACACTGGTCCCACTTAAGGAGAAACTATATGGGGCACCTGCACTCCTGTTGGACTGGCTATTTAAATCCTCCAACATTAACTCAATTCAGAACACAGAAGAAGAAAGAAGAACCATCATAGTCCTTGAACTACTTCTAGCCGAGTGTTGAATGTATTACCTACTTCTACACAGGTGTTTGGACCACCAACTTATGCCCAGGTGTTTGTATAACCTGCTTTAATCCAGGGGTAAGTGGGGACAGGGAGTGTGGGGGGGGGGGAGAGGAGGGGCTGGTAGGCGTGGCAGGGTGAATTAGCACAAAACAATCACCTGATGGGTAAAGAGGTGGTCTGGATTGTAATAAATTATTATTCTTGAACCAACATGCCATTTTTAGATTTGCTATTGACATTTGAGTATTTAAATAAAAATGGTAGTTGCACTCACAAATTAAAGACAATTATAGTAGCAATATGGTAGATAAAGCAAAATGACTGGTTAACAAAATAAAAAAGGCACTAAGCCTGGTTAACATGGATTCAACTGTCACTAAGAATTTGCTTAGTTATTCATTTGGACCAGATGAACCATACCATTGATAGAGCAGATGAAGTAGAGTTTATCTATTTCTTTGAACTTGGCATATTAACGGATGGCCAGTTCTATGCTCAGTTGGCTCAGGAAAGTCCCACAGACTGAAGCCCAAGATCTAAACCCAAGACTTTTCAGACAATCATCTTTTAAAGTGATACTTTTGATGATAGTCATGAAAGAAGATAATTAATTTGTATGCTCTTGTACTAACTGGTTTTGAGGGACCTTTACTATAAATCAAGTCCACCGGATGATCATGCAGGAAAGTAAGTAGACTCAAAATGCACATACAGAGACACGTTTAAAGAATTGGTTTTCTGGACTCATAATATATCAAATCCATCCCTATGGTCTTACATACATTGACAAACCGTGATGTTTTTTTCTTTTAGGTTGGTGAACCAAAATCAGACTAGGTGTATGCTTTATCCAGTGTGCCAGGATTGGCGTTTTAAAGTTCAAAAACTATATAATAAGCTTGAAAAGTCTATGTAAACATGCTACATTTTTTTTTAAATCATTAAAAAAAAATATGGCAAGCGATAATATTTACATTTCTAAAAACTAAGTAAAACAGGTAAGTAAAACAATACAGCAATTATTTTCCGTGATAAAATACACAATAGCTGTCAATGGGGTATAGCTTAGTCGTTTATTTATATCAAATAATATAACATCCTGTATCATCATAATACCCTGACTCTACTAATCCAAATTTTAAAAAAAAATGTTAGCTAAATTACTATTATATTACTAGTAATTATTTGTTTGAATATTTCTAGCCTTAGTAAAACCGGGAGTAATTTTGTGCTTATTTCTCAAATGTTATAAAATAGTCAATTTTGGTTGTAAAATATGCTTTCTGGCAACAACTATTTGGAACCACATGGGACCGGCTTGTCAAGCCTGTTGTTGTATTACATTAGGGTTGTTTGTCACTAGAGTACTACGGATGGAAAGTTCTTGGAAAGATTTATATTTCAAATAGTATTCTTTTTTTTAAAAAAAAAGCAAAATGTAAATAATATCTATAATTTGATAGCTTGGAATATTATGTTTTTAAACTTACTTCTACTAAACTAATTCAGTAACATGTATATATGTGTAAACATTGCAATGCAATTATGTATATAGAATTATAATGCTGTTTTTTATCATAATTTTATAACTGGATCAAGCTAAATCTGATGCAGAGAATTAAAATAATTGTGTGAAAGTATAAACTAGAACTGTAATTTCTTAACCCAACTAAAAAGTTATTAGTGAATGTACTGACTTTTCAGGTTCATGCTCCTTTTTGTTTTTTCATCTTAGCACAAAGAGGCAGTGATTTTATAAATATTTATAATTGAATTAATTCCACATTAAAATATATGTTTAAGCACAAGTACTATTTATGAATTTTTTTATGAGGTGTTTTTATTTTGTTTTTAAAACTAATAAGAATATTGATGTTTATTTTAAAATGAGGAGAAAGCAAAAGAAGTCAATTTTTGTTGTACCACTCATTGTAGTAGATGTCATTCACTGGGAAACTAATAAATATTAAAAGCACTATTGTTTTTACCTGTGAATCTGATTTACTTATATGTTCTTGTTCAGTGCAATCTTCTATATGTTCGTTATTTCCATGATTACAAACATCATCTTCATCATCATCTTCAATGACTATTACTTCGTCCTCCAAAGCAATTTTTACTGGAGAGATGGGCAGATTCTCTTTATCTTGTACTTCCTAAACATTGGATAAAACAATGCATATATTTATAAGAATGTGTTCAGCCAATAGAACATACATAATTACGTAGAAACAGATACTAATATGGTAATACAGTATGACCTTATAAAGAAATACTTCTCTGACCTTTAGTTTAGGTTTCTCTTCACTTTTATCTGGCTGACACAGATCATTTGATGTCTTTGTTTTCTTTTCCGCTCCACCTATTTATACAGAATTTCTTTTAACCAAAGAAACATTTAGTTACACATCTTGTAATCAATTACTAGAAAATAAGAGTTACCCATTGGTAGAGCATTTAATTCTGGGATAGATTCTAAATCGCTGTCACTAGATTCTATGAATGCATCTAGCGCCACTTCACTACTGTTTTCCTCAAGCTTTAATTCAGAATTCTCTTCTACAAGACCTGCAAATCACAAATAAAAAAACATGACTCTGCTACGTGCAAATATTTCAGTATTGATATAATGCTTCTTTAGAATGTGACAAATACATATGTGCATGAGCTTCATCTAGGCATATCTTTGTATTTGAAATGTGGTTATTCTTTTCCAAAGATTACACTTTCCAGCATAATCCTACAGCTATTACAGTTGATAAAGATCAATTAATACCTCAAATAATATCAAGAATATGTAGTGGGTAACTTTACAAACCTTACTAAAATGTTATTGTATGGAAAGATTTCTTAAACTTTTTTAAATGTATCAGTGGTGGTATGACTTTGAAAACTAGGTTGGCCTAGATGTATTTTAACAGTACTTAAATAATTTGTTAGATCTTGGAAATGAAGCATCATTTTTAGTATGGTCAACACCATTACCATCTATGTGACTACACATGTGGCATCAATTTACAATCTCTAAACCTATATAACCTGAACTTATTTTAACTTTATAAAACCTTACATTCAATGAAACAAAGATTTTTCTCAAATGTATCATTTTGTGTATACTCCGTGTAACATGGGTAAAGTAAAACATCTGGCAGAGATTTAGACCAAACGAATGACTTGGGCATGAGATTATCTACTATCTACCCCATACAATACAGACTGTATACACAGAGATAGAGTGAGTACTGTCAGTTATTTAAATTACATTTACACTACTGGGGGGAGGGGGGAACAACATGAAATCTTTTTAAAGGAGGAATAGTAACAAAGGAGAAATATTGGAAAATACTAGACTAGATATGATTATCCTAGACACAATGCATTATCAAAAACATCAATATGTGGACTAGAGTTGATCAGATATGAATTAAGATGATAGTTTGTCAAATGTGAACAGTGTGTGCACATAGTCAGAAAATCAACACCAAATGCTCCTAAATTGAGAAAACACAAGTCTCCTATGGTTTTAACTTGGCAGCAACTGACAGCATGTCTGAAACATCTCAAAACACTAGGAAGACAAGCTGCAAGTTCTTCTAAGGCCAGAGTTGGTCAGTAGTGTACAAAGGCTAGTACTTTTTCAGGCCAAGAAAGCCTACAGCCATTTTGAAAACAAAAACAAATTACTAGGATAACAAATACAAACAAGATATCAAATTTCAACTGTTTTATTTCACAAAGCTAAGACCCATGTTAAGTGATGTGACAAATGATGCTTAACACTCAGAGAAGAACAAGAAAATATATGACATGATTCTCAATCAAGGAGAATAGAGTAAATTAACACCAGTTCTATCACTTGTGAGACTTGTCTTGTATTTATTCTGTGTAGTCCTTAGTGGTCAAACATTTAATACACTTGCGACACTTGTTAGTCTTTTATCTGCATGAAATTGCTGTGTCCTTAAATCAAGATTCTGTGTAAAGCATTAATTACATTAGTCATTCTTTGATGATCTCTATTTGCAACTATTTCCACTATGTTTATATTTCAAATGTCTATCTAAAAAGGAAAGTTGGGTTAAAATCACTCTATATTACTGGCAAGGGTAACAATCGGTAAAATTGTTTTCATAAAAATGAATTATACCTCTGATCCCTTTATTAAAAATCATCTTATAAAGAAAAAAGGCAATAACAATCAGATGAAGTCAGAGACTACTCGGCCTAGCAGTAGAACGCAAGCTTGCTAAAACGAAAGTCACAGAATCAAAACGGACCATGTATCCATACCAGGTTATCAACACAATCAAGCCTAGCCACTGCTGAGTACCATTGAAATGAGAAATGCTAAATTCTGCATTGTGTTGCAGTCTGTCTGGCATAAGAGCAATGTTTAAGCCAGTTAAGCTCACATAAGAGAGAATTTATTTCTGATATTGCGATCCATAACCTAGTCTACCTCAAAAAGTTGTGATTAAATCATATGAATGTACTTGATTTCACTGACAATTAGTACGTAGTGAATCACATAATTTATTTTCACCACATGACAGATAAAATATAATCAGTTGAAACAAACGAATGCTAATATTTACCATTATTATTGTTCCCAATATTTGGCAAACTGTTCACGCTAGCTGCATTAGCCCTCTCTGCCTGAATGCCCAGGTCTCTGGCATAACTGTCATCATAGTTCACCTGGAAATATATCAGAAATCTGTTAAATCCCTAGGGACAACAGAACTAACATATCATCAGTTTACAAAATTTAGTCCCTTGCCTAGATTATCCTTCTCATGGTTAAATGAAGTCCCAGGGTCCACCCTACTCCAGTGGGTGCTTCATGTAAATGTAGCTGGGAAAAGTGCTGACCACACACATTCCCTTCATATACTGAGGTTATATAAATTCTACATACAAATAGCCTGCCCAATGGTTCATCATATAAGAAAATAAATGTTTAGTTTCCCACCAACCATGTCTTTTGGATAAAATAAACCAAAAAAAAAAAAGCTATAAATCATATGCATAATCATTTTCTCAGCTTTTCTGATGTATTTCAGATACTTGCATTTGATTTGATTTAAGTTATTCTTCAAAATCAGTACATTTTGGTATCATTAATACTTAACAGGTCAAATATTGCCCACATTTTTAATTCTAAATGTTCATATGGAGAAAATAACCAAAATGTTCTAAATTTCTCCTTTTCTGAAATTGTTTCAAAATGTCAGTTTTTGAATGAGTATCTAAGACAGATGTACCCACTAGTATTCAGTGATGTCAACTTATCTATCTAAGACAGATGTACCCACCAGTATTCAGTGATGTCAACTTTTCTATCTAAGACAGATGTACCCACCAGTATTCAGTGATGTCAACTTATCTATCTAAGACAGATGTACCCACCAGTATTCAGTGATGTCAACTTATCTATCTAAGACAGATGTACCAACCAGTATTCAGTGATGTCAACTTATCTATCTAAGACAGATGTACCAACCAGTATTCAGTGATGTCAACTTATCTATCTAAGACAGATGTACCCACCAGTATTCAGTGATGTCAACTTATCTATCTAAGACAGATGTACCCACCAGTATTCAGTGATGTCAACTTTTCTAAGACAGATGTACCCACCAGTATTTCTGTGATGTCAACTTATCTATCTAAGACAGAAGTACCCACCAGTATTCAGTGATGTCAACTTATCTAAGACAGATGTACCCACCAGTATTCAGTGATGTCAACTTATCTATCTATGACAGATGTACCCACCAGTATTCAGTGATGTCAACTTATCTATCTAAGACAGATGTACCCACCAGTATTCAGTGATGTCAACTTATCTAAGACAGATGTACCCACCAGTATTCAGTGATGTCAACTTATCTATCTAAGACAGATGTACCCACCAGTATTCAGTGATGTCAACTTTTCTATCTAAGACAGATGTACCCACCAGTATTTCTGTGCCAGCTGGGATGTCCCTGTGAGCCCTGTAGAAGATTTCACCCTGATGTTGGTATGCTGTGACATACTGTTCATCTTCACATCGTGCAAAGTTTATAAACCTCATCCAATTGGAATCGGAGGTATCACTACCATCAATACAATGGGATGGACTCCCATCCTTGAAGATCTGTAGAATATAGAATAAGAGAGGTCACAAGCATAAAAAAATGGGTTCGACTGATCAATGAAGATCTAGAGAATCAAATTTAGTTTCTATTTGCCACAAATAAACAATAAATAAACAACCAATGGAATAATGGGACAGTGTGGTCAAATGGCAGATAATATAACTGCAACCCAAAAGTCTTGAGTTCAAATCCAGGTTCACTGCTGTAGAACATTCCTGATTCCGCCCAGTTCTGATAGGTACCAAACTCACATTCGGGAAAGTGAAAATGGCTGGGCATAGTGGTGACCACACTAGCTTGTCATCAGTAACCCATCAGTTAATGTTCACCAGAGAGAGTAATTAGGGGGATATGCAATACGCTCCTGTTTAGTCAGGATTGAGCTAATCTTAGCTTATTTATCTTTAACTGTTGAGAATTTCATTTTTTTTTTTAAATTTAATATTAATTTTTATAAAAGAGTAAAAATTCCAAATATTTCCATATATGGTTTTTTGACAACTGGCTATTTACTTATTATTATTCAATAAAATAAATCAGTTCATCTGCAATTAATTATATCTACAATATACAACTTAGCTCACCTGCCAACAATACTTTGAGTCAGGTGCCATCTGTTCAATGCTCTTATTCTTCCCAACATAAGGCCCAAAAATAGTCTGAGCAGGAAAAAATCTTTTGGCAAAAATCCCAAGCCAAGCATCAGGCATATCAGATGTTTTAATAGCCAACCCAGGGGGAAGAGTTTTCCTACAGTAATCTTTGTCCTTGCCCCTGATGCAGTCTGGTGGAACCTGTTTTTCATTAAAGAAAATATTTTAATCTTCGCCATTTTTATGACAGCATTGCAATGAACATCAAGACAGCGGTCTTATACTTACCTGTGAATCTGACACATTTAGAGAACCAGGTTCTATACACTCTTTGATTTGTTTAATGTTGCTCTCTTGACTAACTGAAACAAAATATATTGTATAAAACATATTGTGGGACTGGAATATACGATCATTTTATGGTAATTTTATTTTTATGTAATGTGTGATATGTGTGATGGAGGAGGGGTGGGAAAGAAATATCTGGCGTTTTAGACGACCCCTAAATTAAATTTACAATTTTAATGCAAGTACTCACAGAGACTTTCATCACTGTCACTGTGATCTTCCTCCAAGGCATAATTTGGTTGAAAACAAGGCAGGCTTGTTCTATCTTGTGTGTCAACTTCCTGAATTTTAAATTTTCATTTGTTAAAACTACAGGCCTACATTGCTCATTGCTGCTAACAATTGTGAATAATGTTAGGTTGACAGTTGTGCAATCTGTTTTGGATTTTTTAAAATGTAAATGGATCATTCTGGGGTGCTATCTCATTGTCTGCCCAAAGCCATGGTAGACTATTGCTATTGTTGTGTGTATAAATATCACAAACATGTAGTTATCCACACCATCCAAACCTTTTAAAATGTATTTATGTATTTATGTATGTATATTGATACTTGGCTAAATTTATTGATACATGGCTAAAATTGAAACAGAACATACACCAATTTTTTTTTAAACTGATAAGCATAGAATTCAGTATAACATAATATCAGAAATATTTCTCTGACCTTAAGAGTAAATTTCTCTTTATTTTTGTCAGGCTGACACAGAACACTTGATACCTTTGTTTTCATTCTCTCTCCACCTATTTATACAGAACTTTTTTCATTATGTTATCTAACAGTTTAACTCTAAAAGAGGAATTTAAAGATTTGATTATTAGCAACTTGATGGAATGATGATAGAACTCACAAAGCTAACCTAAAATTCCCAGGTTTGGATCCCTGACTAGGGCCCAGAGACCACCCAGATAAGTACCTAACTAACATTAGGGAAACACAATCACCTAGGTTAAGGTGCTAACCACACTATGCCATGTCATTAGAACAGATTAACTAACTTAGTTTGCCCTATGTGTCTTGGGCAAGAATGGGTAAAGATGATGATAAACTTGATGATATATCTTTTATGTATCACTTACAAGAAATTTGAATTATTTGTTGTTATAAACATTTCTGGCAAGTAAACAATATTTTTTAAAAGTATATATCACAAAAAATATAGCACAAATCAGCCAGATGGTTTAAAAAATATAAACATGTGTGACAAATTTCAATTAAATCTTTTAAAAAAAGTGTTACCCGGTGGTATAGCCTCTAATGCTGGGGTCCATTCTAAATCCGAGTTACCACAAACTGACAATGAGTCTAGCTCCACTTTACTGTCCACTTCCAAAAGCTTACATTCAGAAGTCTCGGGTATAAGACCTGCAAAGATAAACTATAAATAGACCTACTCCAGGAAAATTCATAGAGAAAAGGTGGCTAAGTTACGCTTTAAAATGTTGAGCTAAGAAATACTGTCCTTTTACTATGAACAAGACTTTAGTGGAATGAACCTCTTAATTAGATATGTGCTTACATTATAACTATAATTCTATAACAAGCATTAGAGTTTTAAAATATTTACTATCTTCGATACCAGCTATATGAGAACATAATTAATTTAAAAGAACAAAAATAGGCTCTAAGCTGTTCCTACACTCTAAATAATGGTTGGATCCAAATGTAGAACAGAACTAAAATCTATTTAAAAAAGATATTTGAAAAATGTTTTTTAAAACAAAAAAGTCTTCTAAGAAAATTTCTTTAACCCACCAACACTTTTTAGCAGTTCATAGTTTTGTGGTATTTTGCTCAGGTGGTGCTTTACATGCTCAGGCAAAGCAGCAAACTCTTCAGGTGTGAAAAATCTTTCACAAAGGATGGCAAGTTTTCGGGTTTTGTTTTCCATAGCTGCCTGTCATATGAGAATATCATAAAGGTTCTAGATCTAATAAGCATTTTAATTAATCTAACACACAATTCATTCTTCCCCCCCCCCCAAAAAAAAAAAAGATTATTGGGTGTATTTGTTGCTAATTATTTAATTCTGGGTAACTAAACACTCAACTATATTTGAAAAGAAAATAAAAACAATGGACCCAAATGAGCAAACTGTTCATTAAATATTTTGAAATCAGGTATTGTATTAATAAAACTAAATGTGGTTATTTAAGTGTATTGTGAGGTTCTTTTTAGACTTAACTAAAGATTGGATAAGGATATTGACCAGGGGTCTCTAAAATGCAGCCCTCAAGGTCCTCTCAACCGGCTCGCTGAGATATTTTTCTCCCTATAAAAAATGTTTGTTGTAGATGGCTGAGGAATTTTGCCCAGAATATTCAAAACAATTTGAAAATGTAGCTTTGGGTGCAAATACCATTGCCCACTGTGTTGCAGACATTGATGAAAACATTGTGACTCAAATAGCAAAAAATACAAGTAAGTTTCGACATTTTTCAATTCCAATGGATCAGTCGCTGGACAGCTGTTCCACCTCTCAACTGCTTGTGTTCATTAGAGGTGTGGATAAAGACATGTACATAACACAAGAGCTGGCTTCTCTACATAATATGTATGGCACTGTTACTGGAGAGGATATATTCAATGAGTTAAAAAAGCATTTGCTGAAAATAACTTGGACTGGACTAACCTCAGTTAACTGACTGTTAATGGAGATAAGTACAAGAGTACAAGAGGGCAGCATTAACTATCAAATATCAGTTTGGGGGCCAGAGTTTCTTCAAGGCATCTTTTCAGGGTGGCAGATCCCCCCCCCCCTCCCACACACTCTCTCAAAAACAATTTACATAGAAATATATAAAAATTATTTCAAGTGTCTGGAGGCTTTTAGGTGGGTATATAGATCAGAAACTAGATTTCCCTATCTTTTAGGTTAAGAAAATTTAAATGACTAGTTATATCTGCAGCAGAGGCCAATTTCTATACCCACTCTTCACCAGACATTAATGGTTGTGGCTTGCCTTTACTTTCCAGGAAGAAACCTATTTCCTTACTTAACTTAAATACTCTGCTTAGAACTTTCTCACAACGTGGGCTGTAGTTTGGAGACCCCTGCTTTAGGAATTTAGTCCCTTTTTGTTGTTGTTTTTACGGCCGCCATGGAGGCAAAATTGACAAAGACACGCCCTTTGTCCATATCCATGTCAACAATGATGATTAATAATGTGATAAATGTGATTCAATGTTGGAAACTCATCAAACTCATTTCTGTCCATTATTTATATTTAATGAATCTGGGTAGGATTCTAGAGCTAGACTAGATCTAGATCATATTCCACATTTAGAATCTAGATCTAGATACTTTAACATGTGTAATAACTTTTATAGATTCTAGTATTCAACTAGATCAAGTTAGACTATCTGTCCTAGATCAGACTAGACTAGATCTAGATTTAATCTAGAGCTAGATTATTCTAGAATTTTGTTCTAGATTTAGAATATAGATTGTATCTAGACTTGCTACTAGATTCTAGATCTAGGTAGATTTCTACTCTAGATCTAGAATAGATTAGTAAGATCAATTTTCAATTTTCACCACACAAAGAAATTAGAAATGGGTAGATCTATAAAACACTATTAAAAACACAGAATATTGAAAAAGACAATGTGTGCGCAAGTTTTGGGCTGGGTAGCACTGGTGTTGGTCTATTAGCCTGACTAGCAGGGTTGGCATGGTCGAGTCAGTAAAGCTCATGGTTGCTAAACCGAAAAGTCTCGAGTTCGAACCCATGGGGAGATGAGGCTCTTTAGTCTTTAGCTGGGAACAGCCACTCTTCAAGGAAAGACAACTCCAAAATCAAACAACTGCTGCCTTGTAGTTTGTTCTTGGTTGGACAAAAGCTATAAAGCAAACCCAAAATGAAAATCAGGCTGAAATCGGAGTCAATGTACTCAATGGGGCATAACCTGTTGACACGTAAACTTGTGTTGGAGATGATCCTTTCCAACACTAAAATTTACTGACTAGCAGACTTTCAAGAAATTAGAAAATAGATCTGGATTCTAGATTAGATCTAGAAATCTAGCATGCGACGTCAATTTTATTAAATACCTTTTATTGACATTTAAAGTTTAGAAATCTAATCTAGATTATTATTTTTATAGAGAAGTTCTAGATCTAAAAATCCAATCTAGATTTAGCTAGATCTATTTAGTCTATTAATAATTATCATCTTCTGTCTTCTTTTCTGGCTAGATCTAGATCAGAGGTCTAGCTAGGGGAGGACGGGTAGGTTGGCCGCTGACCTCAAGAGGGCGCCAAATTGAGTAGAACAATAAAATAGCATGCTTATTCCGAGCTGCACTGAAGGCTTTCTACGTTGCTTGTGTGATACGGGAAAAAAATACTATTGACGGTGACTGATGTGTTTGTGTGATGGGGGCAGGGGATGTCCTTTTTCGCTAACGTGAATAAATATTAAATATGGGAGGGGGGTGGCGGCGCAAAATTGAAAATTGATAGTTCTCCCCGGAATGGGTTGCTACACCTTTGATCTAGATTTTTAGAATCTAGATCTAGATAATCTAGATCCTAAACAGAATCAAGAATCTAGATCTAGATCTAATAAAAATGAAAAATAACCTTGGACGTAGTCTACTGACTTGACTGGTCACTCTCATCACTGAGTCACTACTGAGTGATATTCAGATTCTACTTTAATAACTTTACTTTCGATTGTTTCAAGATTAAGTCAGTAGTCTAAAGTCTAAGTCTTGATCTCGGGAAGATTTAAATTTATACTTAAATTTAGATCTATACCTAGATCTAGATTTTCTAGATCTATATGATTCTATCTTTATCAGTGTTTGGGCTTAGAAATCAAGAGCTAGATCTAGATCTAAATCTAGATTCTTAAACTAATCTGAATAATTTCCAATATTTAAAACCGGAAGCGCCAATCGTGAGTCTAAACCGGAACGGGATAAGGTGGGTACATTTAGATTCTAGACCGGAAGTTTATCTAGATAATAATATATCAATATCCGTGTGGCGTCAAAAAGGCCAATGACCAGAGTTTCTTCCAGGCATCTCTTCGGGGGGGGGGGGGGGGGGGGGGGGGGGTGGAGAAGTACCCAAACGGAAAATTTTTTACCGCCCCCCCCCCGAACGAAATGAAATTTATATAATTTATATAGAAAATATATACTTTTAACAGTGTCCGCCCCAGAGGCGTAGCGACCCTTCCCGGCGCCCGGGGACATACTTCCAATTTGGCGCCCCCTCGAGAGCAAATTTTCGATTTGCACCCCCCCCCCCCCTCGAACTTTTCATTTGCACCCCCCCCCCCCTCAAACTTTCGATTTGCACCCCCCCCTCGAACTTTTCATTTGCACCCCCCCCTCAAACTTTCAATTTGGCGCCCCCCCTAAGGTCGGCGCCCGGGGACATATGTCCCCCCCCCGCCCCCCCCTCGCTACGCTACTGGTCCGCCCCCCCCCCCCCCCGAAGAAAGTCTACCGCCCCCCCCCCCCGAAAATTTCAAGTGCACCCCCCCCCCCCCCCGGAGAAAAAAGTCTGGAAGAAACACTGCCAATGACAAAACGGCCCCAACATAACAGACAGTGTTTCTTCCAGGATTTTTTCTCCGGAGAGGGGGGGGGCGGACAACATTTTCCGGGGGGAGGGGCTAAAAGTATATGTTTTCTTCTATATAAATTCCATTTCGTTTGGGGAGGGGGGGGGGCGTAGACTTTCGGCTGATGCCTGGGAGAAACTCTGAATGCTGATATTGCAGAGGCGTAGCGACCCCCTCCCGGCGCCCGGGGACAAACTTTCAATTTCGACCGCCCCCCCCCCCCCCCCTTGTATATTTTTTTTATGTTTATAATTCAAAACTGCAGCTAAAATGAGCTTTTAAATATTTTTTTCCACACATTTTGGCGCCCGTGGACATATGTACCCACCCACCCCTTCGCTACGCTTCTGTGATATAGTTTTATTATCAAACAAAAGATATAAAAAAGAGATTTTAAAAAAAGAGTTTGGGGTCATTAAGGGGTCATCCATAAATGACGTCACGCTTTTTTTGACGAATTTTACCTCCCCCCCTCCCCTCCGTCACACGTCGTCACAAAAAGCCAGACCCCCCCCCCTAAAATGACGTCACACCTCAACCTACAACCCCCCTCAAAATTGCAGTTGAATTTTTTTTAAACATCGATATTTTTCCAAAATCTTGTCTAAACTATTACAATTTATTAAAACAGTTATCTAAAACGCGAAATAACGTCTAAAATTCGTTTTCCAACATTGCTTTTTTATAATGCAAAAATGTGACGTCGCAACATCTGAACCCCCCCCCTCCCCCTCATCACACATCGTCACAAAATTACGGACCCCCCCCCCTCCCCCCTACGAGTGTGACGTCATTTATGGATGACCCCTAATCAAGTTGGTGTAGGTTGTTTAAGGTATTTATAAGCACATTTTAAATTGACTTCAAAAATTAATCTACACTATTGCGACCAGTGTAGCAAAAACGAATGCCTTCATATTTTCCAGATGTGGTTTAGGGTCAATGCCGGACAACAAGAGAATATGTGGAGAGCCTACAGACCCTGCAGACAAGATGATTTATTTTGTGCCATGAACGATATATTTGCGGCCGTGTTTTAGTAGTCATAGCCTTATTCTTGTCAATCATTACCTAATCCCTCAGTTATACATTGTCACAATATGCCACCCGCGGTATACATCGTCACAATATGCCACCCCGCATTATACATCGTCACAATATGCCACCCCGCATTATACATCGTCACAATATGCCACTCCAGTTATACATCGTCACAATATGCCACCCCAGTTATACATAGTCCCGATATGCCGACCCAGTTCTGCATCATCACAATATATACTACCCCATGTATACACTTCCCCCCCCCCCCCACCCCCACGACCTCACACAACAGCTTTACACCTCCATTCTAATGTGTATTTTTAAAATGAAATTGTCTTTCTATCAATTATCATTGATAGGATCAACTTTAAATAAATTATGCTAAATATTTTTTTTTAAATTAAATTCAGTTCCACACTAATAAAATTCTAGACAAGGGGCATTACACTTCCTGAACCATCTACCACTACTCATAACCGTTCGATCCCCCCACCCCATCCCCTTTTCCCTAATCCCGCTAGGAGCGTAGGCCTACTGTTATAAAATTAACAGGGCAACAAAAATGTTTATTTTCTTTGTTATGCGCGACAACTCTATTAATACTGTCTACAGCATCATCCAAGCTTGGTTACTTCCTCTTAAAGTTAAAGATAGGATAATATTATCTGAATATGTGACAATGGGATGTCATACCACCAGAGGCGTATCCAGGTTTTCGTTGTAGGGGGAGCGGAAAAAGCAAAAAAAGGCGCCGAATTTGAAATATTTTCTATATAAGTATATATATATATATATATATATATATATATATATATATATATATATATATATATATATATATATATATATATATATATATAAGTTGTATGTTATTGCTTCGATGTGATGTAAAATAAATTTGAATTAGCACTCTGAAGAAATAAAAAAAAAACACACAATGTAGGCCGACGAATAAAAAAAATATGGTATCACTCTAAACAATATATATATATATATATATATATATATATATATATATATATATATATATATATATATATATATATATACATATATATATATATATATATATATATATATATATATATATATATATATATATATATATATATATATATATATATATATATATATATATATATAAACCAAAAACAATGAACGCGGCATAATCTGTTTCGTAATTCTTGTAACGAAAATTACATAATAATTCTTGGGACATCTATTAAGACTAGCGAAAAGGGGAAATAATCAATATCGTAATATAAATATGTATATGTCTACACATTTTATTATAAATATCAAAACAAATAAATTATTACTGTTGAATCTAATGAAGTAGCTTAACACTATTCGTTTTTACAAAAATATTTTGTCTACAGTCAGAATTAAATATACTGTCATTATAAATGCTAAACTATTACAGCATAATGAAAGTTTTTTAAATCGGAGTTGGTATAAAAGCCAGCTTTTCATTATAGAAGTAAGGCTTTCGGAATGATAGCCTACATATAACTAGAATATCGGTCATTCATTTCAGATTATGCACTTTTTAATTAGCTACGGATTTGTTGTGTTCTTTAAAGATAATTTTTTAACATAATGAGAAGGTATGGTTTAGATCACTGTACTGCTCACACACCTTTTACTGGTAATTGAAAAAAACAATATTCATAGAGATTTACGTTTCAAATGTGCCGACCAAAGATAATTTTTTAACAAATATCAATGTTTAAAACTTTGAGTTAAAAAAGTTTCTAAAAAGGCGCCACTTTGCTAAAAATGGCCAGAGGGGGAGCGGCCGCTCCCCCTGCTCCCCCCCTGCGTACGCTACTGCATACCACACCCGCTCTCTCCACAGACAATAAAAGGCAATATTAAAATCAAATTTTAAAAATATAATTTAATCATCGTCCACCCACACTATGGTAATTGGATGGGGCGAGTGGTATGTGTGTGTGTGTGTCTGTGTGTGTGTGATTGGGGTGACTATAAGGTAAAAAAAAAATCGGTAAAATAAGCTTATCTAATAAAATACATCAAACTTCAAAGACTATTTCTCTCTTTCTTTGTGAGTTGTATAAGAAGCTTTCTTGTATGAACGTATGAAACGTATTGAAACGTGTTGGATTTATGTGATGTAGTATTACATTTTTAAAACAGGTTACGAGAAAGATTTCAGAATTATACTCTAGATACTTCACAATGTCGATGGATGCTTTAGTGATACAAAACATAGTTTTAAAAAGATCTAAGCTGGGTTAACAAATATATACTGATATATGTGTATGTTGTCTGGTGACTACAGTTAGATCGGTTGTGTGATGACGGAGTTTTGTGTGTACGTGAAAGTGCTATGTGTAAACAATGTGTAGTGAGATTGTCTGGCATTCGTGTATGTTCGATGGGCGGGTGTAGGCCAATATCTAGTGCAAGGTTAACAAGTACTGGTGTGTTTTGACATGAGGGTGGCTGAGCTAGTGTTCAAGGGACAAACAATGAGAGATGGGAAAAGGGAAACAACTGGTGGCACGGACTATGGAGGGGGGGGGGGGGTGGAAGGGGGATAAATGAAACTTAACACGCATGTCTGAACCAAGGACATAGTGTGTTCAACAGCGATTTCACTTTTCATGAAAATTGACTGGTTGTGTTTATTATTGATATGGGAAATTTCTTGACGTGTGTTGGCTATTGTGAAGACCTCACAAGATAATCTAGTTCGACTGTGTAGCTTAGCTGTCTTTGGTACACAAATTAAATTGTGTAAAGCTGTGTGGATTATGTGTGTGGGTTCTGTGTGTGGATTATGTGTGTGGATTATGATTTGTTCGTGGAATAAGCAAGGACTTTATTTCTGAACATCGCCTCTATGTAATCAATAGGACTTAGCAAAAAAACTACAACATGAGGAAACATCAATAAGGCTCGATTAATAAAAAGACCGTTCAACTAAAAGACCCATCAGCTAAAGTACTCATCAGCTAGAGCACTCTTCAGCTAGAGGCCCAATCAGCTACAGTACCCATCAGCTACAGTACACATCAGCTAGAGGCACCATCAGCTAGAGGACCCATCAGCTACAGTACACATCAGCTAGAGGTCCCATCAGTTAGATTACCCATCAGCTACAGTACACATCAGCTAGAGAACCCATCAGCTAGATCAACAAGATGATCAGACACAATGAAAATCAGTAAGTGCGTAGCGTGTGTGTACATGTATACAGTAAACAAAAACAACGCATTATAAACAAACTACCACAAACCAACAAACATAAGCTACCACACTTAACCCGA